TACAAGACATAGCTACAAAAAATAGCTATAGATAAACTAGAGAAACTATCGTAGACATATGGTTTGAAACAGATTGATCGATAGTTTCTAGCGAGCACAACGCGCTAGGACAGGACAAAAAACACTACCTGGAGTCCCACTATTTAAAAAGTTTGGAGACTTACTTTAAGTTGACAGACATCGTGCCTACCCAACATGCAGGACCACATTTAGGGAGGAGCGCTGACTACAACTGCCCCGGGCACCAGTTTTTGGGGGCGCCAACATTTTATGGTCGGAAATTTGCTCACTTCTGAATTATTGAACTTCTAAAATTATTTTGAAATTATTATTATGATAATATGAGTTATGATGTTTTTTTTAATTGTTATATTTTACGTACTCATATTAAAACTAACTTCACTACATTTGAATCAGTGAACGCAAATTTGCTATGTTGTACGTATGTCAGACGGGCTGCATCCGAATTGGGTCCCGAATTGTTTTAGGTACTATACTAGTTGGGTCCCGGATTTTTATAGGAACTACACTAATTGGGTCCCGGATTTTTATAAGTACTACACTAGTTCCTGATTATTTTTTGGTAAGTGCTATATTATACTAACTTTTTCCTTCCCATTTTAACAGATTTAGGACTGTCTATGATCTATTTAGACCACAGGTATGGATAAAAATTTGTTTAATAGTTTTTTTTTTTGTTTTTTAGTTTCTTTTCCATTGATTTTTATTTATATTAATGATTTTAACATTTTTAATATTTTTACCAACACAATTCGAATAATTTATATTTTAATGGAAAAGAAATTAAAAAACAAAAAAAAAACGATAAAAATATTTTTAACCATACTTGTGATCTAAATAGATCATAGACAGTCCTAAGTCTGTTAAAATGGGAAGGAAAATGTTAGTATGATGAAGTACTTACCAAATAATATTCAGGAACTAGTATAATACCTAAAATAATTCAGGACCCAACTAGTGTAGTACCTATAAAAATCCGGGGCTCAACTCGGATGCTCCGATCAGACGGAGACAACACATGCGTGTGTGACGTACTCTTAATATATTATGCTGTTTGGATTTTAAACAACTATGAATTAATGTATTTATAGCAATATAGCTATCAGCGGTCCAGAATATTATTAATATACCTAATATTAGTTCCCAAATTTCTTGTGAGAATGTCAATAAACATAAGTTATTTATAATAATACGGCATATTATTTTATCGCTGCGGCGTGCAGTGGCTTGCCTACTACACAAAAATAGCATTGATTTTAGAATATCTAAAAGATTCATGAAGATCTATCTATCTATCTAACTTCTATATTTTCCGTGGGTAGGCCCCTAAGAGGGGCGCAAAATGTCTAAATGCGACATTGCCAACATGACCAATATAAAAGTAGATCGTCAACTTATCAATATATTGAAGTCGTTTTGTACCAAATTACCTGTATTAATATTTTAAAAGAACGTAACCCGAGTAATTTTGAAAAATGTTTGAACTATGACCCACGACTTAATATACTATATTATGTCCTTCAAGAGATATAAATTATTTAATTTTTTAACTTTTGAAAACATTTAATGATTTCTATTACCAAAAAAAAAAATTTTTTTTGCAAACATCTAATTCTACGATTGATATACCTACAATATTTTATCTTTCAAACCTATGGCAACCTTAATATTTAACCAAAACTAAGGCCATAGCCAGGGGGTTTGTAGGGTTCAAAGACCCCCATTCTGAAATTTTTATATTCAAAAACGGGATATAACCAATTCGACATACATTAATAAAATATCTTTTCTAAACGGGAACCAATTTGGTAGGTACTAAGCGATTTTAGTATACTTAAGGATCATCATTCTGCAGAACAATTTGATACTGGACAGCATAAATACATACGTAATCCTGTCAATTAACGGATACAAGCTAGAGATATTAGGATCTTTAACTATTTTATTTAAATCAAAAACAGTTAACGGCAAATTATTCTTGTAACTCAGATAAATAACTACGAAAATGAATACATTCAATAGGAAATTATGAACCAATGTCCTCTGGATATTCTTGTAGCAATGGCATAGCTCATTCTCTTAACTTGAATAATAGCAATTTAGATAGATTAGAGTTGGAATTAATTGGATAAAAATCCAAATTTTATATCAACTGTATAATATGCATTCTTTCTTTTGTTTAGTTCTGAAAGGAATGCATCTAATATAACTGTAAAAGTGTAACACTTAAGTGTTTATAACAAATTAATTTAACCTCTAACTATGGTGCCTTTTAATCTGTTCTGTGATATAACTAAATTGATAATATCATAAAATAGATAAGCAAACCATAACATGGCCGACACGATTTTGTATGATAAGTATTTCCGTGCTTCCCCATGTTAATTTTTATCAGCAGGGCTCATAACTTTAGCTTTAAAAAACTTTATTATAAGCGCTTAAATATTCTCTAAAAAGTATTCATATAAGCGCTTAAATATGCACTAAAAATACTAAAAAATGTAAAAAAAAACGTTTATATACAAAAATTATTATTTTATTATTATTATTTATTATATTATTTTATTATTTTAGCTTCTATTATAAAAAAAAAAATTTAGATACTGAATTCACGAAACCAACTAGCATGCATAAAGTTAGAAAATTCGAAAACGATTGCAAAATTTTAATGAAAAATAATCTGTAAATAATCTGAGAATGATGATATCGGAATATATAGATAATGATATTGGAATACCCGAATACCTAAGAACTATAAAAATAAAATACTACAGTACAAACTACAATTATATACAATTAAATATAATGGTTTCCTTATCGATTGGATTACGAAATTTCGGGCGTACACTCTTGCTATGTCGCGCGTCGCATAAACACGTATAGGTATATATAGTTTCTTATTAGAATTATTATATATATTATATGTTATTATATATAATTATATTATTATAATTATTTGTTATTTTTAAGAAAAAATGTTTCAGGCTACTAAATTTTTTTTTAAAAAAATCAATGATAAAAATCATGCAAATATCCAAAAATAAGCAATAAAAAGCGAATAAAAGCAAAATAGCACTTATACTCCGAAATATGCAACATAAAATGTCGTATGTAGCTTCTTGGTTATCTGAAACAAATTTATAGTTCATATAGGTACCTCTAGGACCTCTCAAAAAAAATATGCAAATGCTAGAAATTATGAGCCCTGGTTATCAGTATCCGGGCCTTGTTCGAGTCATGAGACGAGCTGTGCTGGTTGCTCTGCTTGTCAAACCGATCCAACGCGTTCTCACTGACGTACGTGGATTGTGTATTTGGTATGAGTAAAAAAAATTTATAGAAATTGAATAGATATTTAAAGGAATTATAGTCATTTTTTTATTTCTTTTAGTTTTTTTTTTTTTTGATTAAATAATTCGTATAAAAATATGGAGTAGTTAAACGAACTTATTTTGGAGTTCCTTGAGCTCTATAAATGAGAAGTTTTTATCTGGAATCATAAAAACTTATAAAACAAAGTTCTGAATGCTGTAAATAATTCGAGGGATAAAATTTCAAAAAATCTCAGTCAACATTTAAAAAATTCATTTTCCACACTATCATATAATATGTCACGGCGTTCACAATATCTACTTGATTATTCATTTTATAAAATTTAAATTAAAAAAATAATAATGACACAGGTCCGACGGGAGGCAGACTCGGTGAGGTTTGGCAATGAATGCCAAGTCTAGAAACGCACCGTGGGATTCCGATGTAAAACGATCGGGCGGCTCGAAGAAAAATGAAAAATTAAATTAAATTAAAAATTAGTGGTTATGGCTGTTTGAGTGGGTCACAGGTAGTGGTGATTATGGTTTCAGAATCTTCTCTTTCTTTTTTCTTACAGGTATGAAAACATTTGATTTCGATCATTAATTTAGCATCGTTTTTTTGATAATACTGGAGCGTGAGTGATGATTGCAAGAGTCGTTGCTTTATTTGCTTCTATATATGTTGTATTCTTTTCGTCATTACAGTGCACTGGAATTCAGAACATTTGTATTTTTAATCCTTTGTTTGTATTTTCGAGGATGAAGTTTGGCATTTATCTGATGATACCTAATGAGTCGCGTAAGTTTTTTTATATTGTAATTACCGAGCGAGTCTGAATACATTGTTGTGTATGGTATATTATGTGCTCGAATAAAAAATATTGTTCTAAGAATTGCGAACGGTTCAGATTTGTAGATTGAACAAGAGACATGAAATTTATACGGTGTTGTTTCAAATTACAAATAAATATGTTACTTTGATATTAATATTATGTTGTGTTTTTATTGTTGTTCTATTAATATTATTTTAAATATTGATAAGTTTACAAATATTTATTAATTAATTGGAATACATAACAAGGATTTTCCGTGGCAGTTCTGAACCTTCGAGGGTCGTTGAGCTAAATGTTAAGAAAAATATGAAGAAATTAGGCGATGTGTATAATTTCCTAATAAACACACAACTTAGCGTATTTCATAAAATTGGTGTACGCCAATTATATTTTAGTCACACCGTAAATCGCATGTCTATTTACATCGTGCTTTTATTTTTACTAATTAAAATCTCACTAAGTATTCTTTCGTTAATTTTATACTAAGAGGGTTTTCGAAAATACGCGCGTCCCAGGACAAGTCAGTTTGGGAAACCCTGTACGAAAACACGCCCATTAAAGAATACCGACCATAACAACTCGATGTTGGCGGTGGTGCAAAATTTTCTGCAATTGGGAAATATTTTTGTTGTTTTTATTTAATTTTTTTTACCATTTATTAATTTAAAACCCATCAAATGGAAACCGACGCACATATGATGTCTCAACAATACGCACAAGTTCAACCGACACAAATACAACATCCACCAGCTCCCCAACCAAGTACGTTTGACAGATTTGTTTATGAATATTTATGTTAGCGACAGTTGTAAATCCTACGAGTGTAATAAGAATATTAACTACTAATTAGAGCACGAACTTTATGTGGTTGCTACGAACTCTTGTCAATAAAAATATCACAAGACTCGGATGCGCCTGGATCACGTATAATTGTGAAACAACGAGACACAATGAACTGAATGAACAACAAATTGATATAAAATACCTAACCTATAAAAATTTAAATTTGAAAAAAAAAACAAATAAATAAATTCAATATTTATCCTAAAACCCGTAGGAATTTAAGATAGTCCCTTATGCAATAATCAAGTATTTAATTTTGATTATCTAGATTCTGGATTGGAGTATTCAGTTCATTAAAGTATTATGTTTTTGCTTTAATTATATTATATTATAAATTAATTTAATTAAACATTTTATAAATTTTAGCATTATATCGTAATACTTGGAGATTTTTTTTATTATTCAAAGTCGATCAATTATAGTGTTTTTTTGTATTTATTTTAGCTAGAGAAATGCAGCAAACTAGTGCACCAACATCAGCTGATGCCTGTTTAAGTATTGTTCACAGTTTAATGTGTCATCGTCAGGGATGGGAGAGTGAAGGATTTGCTAAACGAGCTATCGAATCTTTGGTTAAAAAACTTAAGGTAATACTTTTTAGTTCTATAGAGTTTTTAAACAAATTTAAATTATAGTTATTAGTGTCTTATTTTTATTAAGACATGCTCTTTGATTTATTTTTTATTTCTCATTCATTATTTTAGGAAAAAAGAGATGAACTAGATAGTCTAATTCTAGCTATAACTACAAATGGTTCACATCCAAGTAAATGCGTGACCATACAAAGAACATTAGATGGACGATTACAAGTATGAATAAATTATTTTAATTCATATTTGAAAAGTTTTATTGTATTGTTAAAATTAGTTCTCATTTATAACCAATAAAATTGTTCATACATATTTATGAATACTGTTTTATACTTATTCAGTGAAATCCAATTTTATTTTTCCAATTATGATTTTAAATATCACTTAATGTAAATAGTAATTTTTAATTACAGGTTGCTGGACGTAAAGGTTTTCCACATGTTATATATGCTAGAATTTGGCGATGGCCAGATTTACACAAAAATGAGCTCAAACATTTAAAATACTGCCAATATGCTTTTGATTTAAAATGTGATTCTGTTTGTGTAAATCCGTATCATTATGAGCGAGTTGTATCTCCTGGTATAGGTAAATATTTATATACATTTATATATATGTATGTATGTATGTATGTATATTTTGAAAGAATCTTCTTATTTTGCTCCAGTTAATTTATGATTAAAGTTATTAACAAACCAGCAATAATTTATTGTTTAGATTTAAGTGGCCTAACACTCCAAAGTGGTACACCTACTAACGGTTCTGGTAGAATAATTGGTTTAAGAGATGAGTATACAGCTGGCGGAGGAGGAATTTCTCCTTCACCACCAGGTTCTAGTCAGGTTAGCAGTTCCAATATGGATAGTGATGTATCTGGAAACAGCCCAGCTGTAACTGTACAACACCATTTACCACCTTTGTATCACCAACAAAATCCAGTTTCTGATGTATCTCAACAACCAACTGTATCTCAAGCTGCTGGTATGAATTAATTATATAGATGTATTCCTTCTTATGCATGATATCAATGAATAAATTTAATTTTAGTGTTTGGATAAATTATTTTCTGTTTTAGAATTTTTTATGAGTATTGCATGTGTAGTTATTAGTAGTACATAATTATTTGTAGGAGATATTGGTATGTTTCGGCCTACTCAACAGCAGCAGCAACGTCCTAGTCATCAAATCGGTATAAATTCTCAAGTGCAGGTTAAGACTGAATGTAATAGTTGGATGCCACCAGTTACACCATCACATATTTCCCCCAATAGTAAGTTGCTTATTTTTATTTAGGTTTGAAATATTTCATTATGTAAGTTTAATATTTCATAAAATCTAACTATTAAATATAACAAACTAAACTTTTTAACTGAAAAATTTACTGAACAGATATTTAACAATTATTTTTAATAATCATTTATTTCAATTATTATTTTTTAATTTAAGTATAAATATTGATTATAAATACTAGTGTATATTCTGTGGTATAATTAAATACATTTTAAAATTATTTATTAAATATATGATTATTACTAATTTTTAGTAAATGTCTGTAAAGGTTTTTTCTTTGTAAAATATATTTCTTATGTAATGGGAAGGAAGGTAAAATCACTAAATGAAATAGAAATTAAATTTTTCAATATAATTTAAACATTTTTATTTTTATTTGGTAATTTAACTGTTAAATCTTTCATTAATAATATGTATTTACTCCTCTACTTATACTATTAAAGTAGTATAAACTGTTTTTGGATATAGAAGTTGATCCTCCTGACCTCTGCTCAGAATTGTTGATACCAATGGTACATTAATTTAAAATTTAAAAGAGCAACTATTATCATTTACCCATCTTTGTATTACCCATCCTATTATGACTCACCTTTTTATAATTAATAATTTCTACCACCAACTGTCCATTATCAAATTTGCTTAAATTATTCTTATTGTATTGTTTTATATTGTTATTTATGTAATATGTTTTATTTAACAGTAAAATTAATTATTGAGCAATAGTTAAAATGTATAGCTTGTAGTTAAAAATTTTTATTTTATAAAATTGGATTTATAGTAATCAAGTAATATAACCAATAGATTATATTTAGAAGTTTTTAAATAATTTAAATTTGCCTTGTTTGTTAAAATTTAATTGTATTGAACTCTGATATGCTTAATAAAAAAGAGATAGTTAAATAAAAATAATTTATTTTGTTTTTATTAATACATTTATAAGGGGTCTCTAACAATATTTTTTCGAATATTAATCTATTTTCAATTATTACAATATTTTATTGCGATATCGAAAAATAAATTTATCATTGTATTTATTATTGATTAACAATATTATTGAAATTAGTAAATTTAAATTAGAAATACAAAATGTCTAAATTACTATATAATATAAATATTAGACAGAAAATTACAGTTTCCAATTTTGTTAGTTACTGAATTTGTGGCATTAAATCAAAATAGGGAGTAGCAAAAGAAAAAAATATATACAATTTAAAAACATCTAAGTAAATTCTTAGAAGACTGAAGGTATTATAAACTATTTATTTTAATATCAATTTATAATGATAGAATTTATTTTAAAAGATATTTCACTAGAACCTATGAATAATAATTAAGGCTATATAATGAATATTTCACTCAATAATGTATATTAGCTGAAGCTTAAAATATATTTGTAGATGGCATGGTCTTTGTAATAAATATTAAAAATTTATATTAATTTGTGGACCCTTATATATATATTTATATATGTGTGTGTGTGTGTGTGTGTGTATTCTAATGTATGATGTCAATTATGAACTTGCTTTAGTTTCAGGACCACCAAATATGCCACTTCAAAATCAAAGTATGTTTCCAGGACAAGACGAAGAAAACTTGTGTAACTATATTATTATTTTATTAAAATTATTTTCATTACTTAATGTAATTAACAATACTTTAATGAAGGGTAGAGTTGAACTGCTCTATAATTATTGTTAGTGCATTTTTATCTGGGATTTTTTCATCATTTTTATCAATATTGGGATATATATTTAGATTATGTACAATATTTTGTAGTATATTTGTTCCATTAGTAAGGATTTATATTCTATATAGGTGTAATAAAATAATTTATTTAATAATATATTTTTATCTATAGACTATAAATTATTTATTCTATTTTAAAAAAGTGTAATGTCACATTCCTAATAGTTATAAAATTAGAAACGTCAATTTATAGTGAACCAAATAAGTTTTAAATTTTTTATCTATTTAATGATTAAAATTTAGTGAAAGTTCCATATTTAAATTATTTGATAACACTATATTATTTATATATATTTAATAATATAGTTAAATTAATTTAATAAAAGATCTTTTATTGAAACTGTTGAATTTAAATTGTTAGGAATTAATTTTAATAATTATTAATTTACTGTTAAAATAAGAAATTTAAAATCCAGGATTCCAAAATTTAATTCATTAAAATTAATGTGATTCTAACTCTTTAATTATCTGCTTGTGCAATTTATGGAGTAAATAATTTATTTATTTTTAAATTAATAACTTATAATTTCTCATTATTTTGAAGATAATGAGTATATATAATTTTTGAAATGACTTTTTGTAGTATTTTTTGACTCTTATAATATTCAATTCAATAACTGGTTTGCATTACTTATAATATTATTTTTTATAATATAGTACCCAGTCAAACAATGACACCTCATGATTATCAAGGACCAACTGCTACCATGCCTGGTACTACAACAGGTAATCGGCCAGTACAAAGTACACTTACTTATACACATTCAATGCAACCTCCTCATCCAACATTCTGTAAGTATTTATTTTAAAAAGTAATTTTTATTTTAAAAACTTAAGAACTATAACTCTAAAGTTATAATAATTGCTAATTTTTATCAGAAAATATTAAAACTATATTACTTGTTAGAGTAGATTACATATTTGTTTTATACATCAAAATTTGAATAACTTATGTTTTTGTCTTATTAATGTGTAACTTATATCTTAATATGATTTTAATGATACGTACCAATATTGATAATTAATCAAATTTACAAATTATTTATCAATTTCATTCATTATGAAACCATGTACATTTAAATTTAAAAATATGTTAAATTATTTTTTCATGTAAAAAAATTTCTTAGTATCTTATTTTATATTGCTAAAGGTTGTGGCTCTGTTCATGAATATAATATTTTTTTGTAGGGGGAGTATCTGAAATGGGATTAAGTGGATTATTATCATCACAGCCAGCTCCTGAATATTGGTGTTCTATTGCTTATTTTGAATTGGATACTCAAGTTGGTGAAACATTTAAAGTATCATCAACTTGTCCACATGTGACTGTTGATGGTTATGTTGATCCATCTGGAAGTAATCGATTTTGTTTGGGAGCACTTAGTAATGTTCATAGAACTGAGCAAAGTGAAAAAGCTAGGTAAATATTTTTATACATTTTTAAAGTATATATAAATTGTATTGTTATTGTTCTATCACTATTTATTATTGAATAATTAATAATTGTTGTTCAATTAGATTACATATAGGAAAAGGCATTCAACTTGATCTTATCGGAGAAGGTGATGTTTGGTTAAAATGTCAGAGTGATCATTCAGTATTTGTACAATCATATTATTTGGATAGAGAAGCTGGTCGAGCACCAGGAGATGCAGTTCATAAAATTTATCCTCATGCATATATTAAAGTATTTATTTTCATATTAATTATGTTATAAAAGGCTGAAAAAATGTGTTAAACCTTAAAACATTATAAAATATATTTAAAATAATTGAAATACTAAATAATACTAAAATAATTTTACTATTAAATTTATATTTATATATGCATGGTTATTTATTGAAGTGATTATCATGTGTTTCTCATTGAATTTTTGGTTTAGGATATTTTTCAAAATTGGAAGTACTTTTATATAGAGATTAGATTTGTTTATTTTTAGTAGTGTTTAACCTGCACAGATTAAACTATTCTCTTAATATTCTATTAAAAACTGTAAATGTGTGCTCAAAATTAAGATCTGAACATTTTTAACACAGAATTCATAAAACACTATAAATATATAGTTTATTATGATATATGTTCATACTTATAATTTTTTATCATATGAACCAATGTCAGTTAGTGTTAATACATTCTTAATTTTAATTCAAACAACATACTTTCTGTATAAAAGTAAAATTGTTTTGAAAATTATTACTGAACATTTTGAAATTATTTTGTTGTTATCACTTATAGGTGAAAATTCAAATTTATTTTTAATTATGTTATATAGATAATTTTGGTAATCATAACTCTGTAATTATTATTTATAACACAATGAATCATTTCTATTTTTCCAATTATCTTTTTCACTATCCAACATTTTGAATTCTTCGAATTATAATTATACAATTTTATAACATAATAATTGAAATTGGTAGAAACTTTAATTGGACTAACACATAATTTAATTATATGTTTAGGTTTTTGATTTAAGACAGTGTTATAGACAAATGCACCAACAAGCTGAATCAGCTCAAAATGCTGCTGCAGCTCAAGCAGCTGCAGTTGCAGGACATATAGCAGGACCTCATAGTGTAGGAGGTATTGCTCCAGCTATAAGTATGTTACATTCTTAAATATTTTTTAGTTAACTGTACAATTTATATTTACATTTTCGTTTAAGGTTTAAATACTGCAGCTGGTATTGGAGTAGACGATTTAAGAAGATTATGCATATTAAGATTAAGTTTTGTAAAAGGTTGGGGTCCAGATTATCGGCGAGGTAGTATTAAAGAAACACCATGTTGGATAGAGGTATGAATATTTTTTTTTTAATAATTATTATAAATTATGTTCAAAAAACAAACAATAATTTATATTTATTATTTTTATTATTAGGTACATTTACATAGAGCATTACAACTTTTGGATGAAGTATTACACTCTATGCAAATTGACGGTCCATCAAGAGTTTGATTTAAATGAGAAACTCCAAGTATTTAATTGTAGTAAGTTATATTTTAAGAAGTGAACATGGTGATTTGTTTAAAATCAAGAAAAATTATCTATTTTATTACTGTTGTCTCAAATTATGTTTGACAAATTATTTGGAAACTTACATTTTATTAGTGGCCTGCTAAAAGTTGGTTTACTTATTTTTATTTAAATTTATTTAGTTCTAATAACTACAAACATCTAGTTCCAAGTTATGATTAAAATTTCATAAATACTAAAAGTTACTTTAAAAATCACCTATTTTAAAGTTTTGAGTAACAGGTTTCCATTATTATGATTATATAATATATATTTATTTTTACATATGACTTGATTTTGAATAATTTGTTTTTTATTTATTTATTTTATTTTGTTAAAAAAAATTACAAAGATATTTTATATTTGTATATAAATACTCCCTCCTATGTTGCTTTTTTCATTTATAGAGACCAGTTCTTTTTTGAACATTACTTTTTGCCAACATTGTAGTATACATTTTTGTTAAAAAAAAGAAGCCATTTGTAGATTTAATAATTGGAATTCTTCTTTACCTTTTAAAATAAAATTTTATTGCTCTATACATTATGAGCATTTAATTTAACCTCATTTTTTAACTACCTCAAATATTTTTACATATATAATATATATGTATAATAAAGTATGAAGAGATTGTTGCCTAAAACTACTAGGCTTCTAGATTATGTTTTTATTTATTTTTTCTATCTTGTTACTATGCTATATTTGTATCAGTTCAAAGTAGTATACAATATTTAGTAAAGTAAAAAATTAAGTTGAAATATTGTTTTGAAAGTATGATATAAAGAGTGAATTAGTTTTTATGTCCCATACTTTTTGTATTTTAATATTTATCTTATTATCTTTGGTTATTAAGACAAAATATTTTATAATAGTTGTGCGTGTAAAAAAAATAAGTGTTGTTTATTATTTTAATATCAACTTAATTTTTATATATAAACATATATAATAAATTAAAAAATGCATTATTTGTATAGTTTATTGTGTACTTATGATAATAATTTTATTGTACACTTATAAAGTAAGTTAAACGTTGAATATTTTTTTCTATTGATACGGTTACCAAAACTTTTATTTCTGCAGAAAACTATTTTTCAATTTACAATTATAAAATGTTTTTATATTAATGCGATGTCTATTTTTTATTGTTTTTGCACTTTTTATTTTACATTTTTGTTAAGCTCTGCGACAGATTATTGATTTTTTTTTTTTATTATGTATAAAATCTGTATTAAAATGTATACTTTTATATTATTATATACATATTAATGTGATTGTTGATCTTTGTTAACAATCCAATTTGAATAAAAAAAATAAATGTATATATTATACATTTATATAAAAATATGTATTGATAGTATTATTTAGAATGGGCAGTTTACTGTAGGAATAATTTTATAATAAAATATTGATTTTATTTTATGTATCTTTGTCAAATCTATTTATTATTACTTGATATTTAAATTATTTAAGAAATCAAGAATATTTAAGATTCTAAGCTTTGATTAGTATATACGAGGTTAGTTTTTCTGTGACCAAATTATCAGGCAAAAATACACCACACATTTTTAATACAGAATTGTGTCAACATTACTTTTATAATATTTAATAATTATTAATTTTTTAAATAATTTGGCAAATTAATTAAGGGGGACTCAAATTACTTTAAAAAATGGAGCGTCCTCAAAACTTGTTAAGTGTTATAATTATAACATAATAATAGTAAGGGGACGCTAAAATTTCTGAAAATTAGTTGGGGTACTTCGTCCTCTTGCGTTCCCCCACAAGTCAAGCACTGCTTGTACCGGGTTTTAGTGTCAACTTGTTCGTTCACTCAAATGGGTCAACATATCATTAAAATTAATTAAAAAGTAACATATTTATACATGATTTTGAGTGATTATGGATTATACCCATACAGTATTTAAATATACTTAATTATTATTATATAGCAGGGGTGGCCAAATTGCTGCTCGCGAGCCGCATGCGACCCTCGTCATAGTCATATGCGGCTCGCGGTCTTATTTACAAAAACCAAAATATTTAAATTTTTTTGTATACATTTATAAAAAAAAATTTTTATTGCATAGATATAAGGCTATAGTTTACAGATTAATAAATAAAAAAAAAATGAATATGAATAATAAATTAAAAAATTAAACATAAAGTTAAATTTGTTTGCATGGTATTTTTTTTATGTCTACTTTTTTAGTAAGCTTCTTAAGATCTGGTTGAATTGATGTAAGAGTAGTTCTTAGTAATTCTGTGAGATGATGGTCAGTCAAATTTGAACGATATTTTGACTTAATTATTTATATATATATATATATTTATTTAAATCATATTGTTCATATTAAATAGAAGGTTTCAAAACCACTTGTGTTTAAGCATCTTAGGGAATTTATAGAAATAGTAGCACAGGCCAAATTTTGGATAAGAATATTATTGTGATTACCAAGTTTGTAAGTTAATAAGTTTCTTCGTTGATTGCTTTTAGTTATAGATCTGAATATATCTTATGTATAATTTGATATATTGAGAGGAGGATATATAGATTTAATCTTATTAAATTATGTTATCTAAATTTTGCTTTGGTAATAACTACAGCTGGGATTTTAATGCAAATGTATTTTTTTTTCTGTTATCTCGACACAGGTCTGTAAGCGAAAATGTATTTCAAGTGATATTGATTAATTTAATGTATTTTTTATTATGCATTATTTTGTTTTTTTAACAAATTTAACTTAAAATGCATTTTTTATTATATGCGTTTGTATATAATCTACTAAATTTTTAAAAATTGACAGCTATGAGCATATTGGCCTATATAACTATTTTATCAAAAGTATAATAAAGTTAAAATAGTTTTAATAGTTTAAAACATTTTTTCTGCTTACAATAGTTTAATGACGATCATAACAGTAAATTATGTAATAAATTAAATTAACAAAACTAAATAAAATGTAAATATTAAATAAATAGGTATCTATTTATTATTATTATGTTAAATAAATACAAATAAATATGTTTGCTAACATGATTTTTTTAATATAGTTTTTTATTTAATAAATACATTTTTAATACTTAAAAGTACATTTTTTATGATTCTTAAAGTATTTTTGTATTTTTTAGTGAATTTTTTATATTTTTTTATGCATTAAAATCCCAACCTATTAATAACCAATATAATTATTATAAATACTTTTTGCATATCAGAGGCTTATGATAATTTAAAAATGTTTTTTGGTTCCTTTGAAAATCGAAATTGCACTCCAATTGGGCCATAAATTTGTACGTTTGCCTCCATACCACTGCCAATACAACCCTATCGAATTAATGTGGGCGCAGGTAAAAGGAGAAGCCGTTAAAAATAATAGAACTTTTAAATTTAATGATGTCGAAAGATTGTTAAATTATGTATTGGACTCAGTAACTGTTGACAATTGGAAAAAATGAATCTAGGTCAAAATATCCACGGACAAAATTTTATAGTATAATTTTTAGAAATTTTAAGTTGGCAACACATTTTATGCCGCCGTCTTTCGATTCCGGTCCTTATCATTTTTCGAACAACTGCCCTAACTCAAAATGTTTTTATTTATCTATGCATATTAGGTACCTAATTCTGAAAATGGAGAATTACATGTTTTTTACGAATACATTATTATATTGCTTAAGGCGTGAGCGAAAAGTTTGAGAACCTCTGGAAAAGGAAATCAAACTTTTGTAATTTTGTTGATATGCAGTTAAGAATCATTTTAATATCAGCTTGGTTTAATATCTTATCATTATTATGAACATATAATCTAAAATAAAAAATAACTTTGTGTATCTTCAAACTCTACAGTTTACATCACCATTATTATTTGTCAAATTTTATTAATCAAAAGTCTTAAGTTGTAACAGTAATTTTACTTTAATGTGTAAAATGCATTGATCATCAATGACCTCAATATTTAAATATGTAGTACTTCAGAAATCGTTCAAGTCTTAACATATGTTACTTTTTGTTATTATTTATTTGGAAAAATAGTATTTTATGTTATAAAGATGGATTTAAAACAATTATTTTTAACACGATCACATGATGGATATTTAGGGAAAGAGGATAAAGTAAGAATTTTAAATTGATATAACTTTTACTTTATTATTTCTTTAATTTATTAATATATAAATTAATATTTTGTTTTTAGAATTAAATAAATAAATAAATGCTTAGCCTGGAGTATTATTATATCTGTAATATATAACTGATTTCAAATTAAAAATTAATTGTCAAGTATAAATAATGTCGATAAAATTGTGACTCAAGAGTGATTTTATTGATTCCCAATTTTTTTGACTTTGTATTTGATGATATATTTTTAGTTTTAAATCCGCTGTACATTATTAATATAATAATACTCTAGACTAAGCTTTTATTTATTTAATTATTTATATATTAATTTATGAATATTAACCATTATCTAAATTTTATTTTATTTTTTTATTATTTTGTTAATTTTTTGTATATAGATTCAAATAATATATATAATAATGCAATGTTATAACATAACATAATTTTGTATTTAATAGATATCTGGTAAATAATTGTAGTTGCTAATTCATGTTTATAAATTTTTTTGTTTATTTAATTAATTTTAGCATGCTAATTATATAATTAATATTATTTTTAATTATTTCAATTTAATAGCTATATATTAATTATGTTCTATAGGTACAAATTGAAACTGCTCTAGAAACAGAAGACGAAGAAGATAATGATATTATTATTCAAGAAGAATTAAAAAATGCATTGGCTTTAGATAATTTAAAAGAATGGAGCAATAACATTAAATTGACTAAGGGAAAACCATTTTCAGGTCTTACACCTTCTATGTGGCCCGAAGATATTGTTGTTAGTTATACTCAATATGACAACAAATCTCCTCCAAGTCATCAATGGTAATTATTTATGAAAAGAAAACTCTCGTAAATCCTCATTCTTCCATTCTTAACTAGTCTGCAGAATTCTCCCTATCTTTTAATCTGAATAAAGTCGATTGGCCCCCATTTTTTCATCATGTTCAAAAAATCATCTCATCATTGTAAGATACGACATCCTCAACTATTTTTTATTTTACCTTTATTGATATCATAAATCAGACATCGAGTACCATAATTCCTGTAAAAAAAAACCTATTCAAATATTTATCTTCCTTCTCCTCCTTGGTGGAATACTTCTTTTATCAAGGCATGTAAAAAAAGGTTATCTCTCTTTAAACTATTTCGCCATTCAATTTCTATGGTTGATTTCATTACCTATAGTAAATCTTGTACTACAACTGTACGGATTTCAAAAAAAGAAAAACGCACAGCATGGAAAATCTTTTGCACTAACTTAAACCCATCTGCTACTATTCACTATCTTTGGCATACAACTAGACTTTTTAAAAAATGTGTTGTTCCCACACCTCGTCCTATCAATGATGATTGGTTTGATGGGTTTTACACTAAGGTTGTTATATTTCTTTGAAAGATGAAGCTAATTAACAATTAAATTAAAACTCAACCCTTACAACCTCATATTCTCCTAAATATTTTCTCATTATCTCAATTAATGTATGCTATCTCTTCTCACCATTCTTCTGCTTCTGGACTTGATAAAATTTCTCTTTTTATGCTAAAAAACCTACCTTCTAACACACTTGAAGATATACTCTTTATCTTAAACATTTTCCTAACAATCCAATATCTTCCTTTTGCGTTAATCCAATCAGTGCTCAACTTGGCAAAATGAAAGAAAGGGACTCTGTTTACTAAAATAAAAAGAGTGTCCCCAAAACTTGTTAAATGTTATTACTATAATGTAATAATAGTATGGAACACTAACATTTCTAAAAATTAGTTGGGATACTCTGTTTCCTTACGTCCCTCCTAAAGCCAAACATTAATTCCAATACTAAAAGCTAACTCCACCACTTCTATTCTTCCTATTGCCTTATCTTCAGCTTTATGTAAAATTTTCGAACATATGCTCAAATTGTGCCTTGATTGGTGGCTTGAATCAGGAGCAATTTTGTCTGATAGTCTGTTTGCCTTCTGTAAAGGCAGGGGTATACTCTATTATTTATAGATAATATCATTATTTACAATAATTGTTATAATTCTATAAAAATACAAATGATTTTTTATAGATAATGAAAAAAGAAGTTTTATAGCTTTTCTGAAATGTTGGTGTCAATTTCATTAAAATTGAATATGCAATTAATGAATTACTAGTTATAAGTGTTAAATAGCGTTTAATAATTAGTAGTAAGAATATTAGTATGGTTTAAATAGAAAATCTTTGGTTCAAGATAATATTTATTACTACCAGTTCTACATTTAATTTTGAAAACTATTTATTCTAATCAGATTTTAATATTTATTCTTAGAAAGTATTAATTTGCAAATTCATATTTAGGTTTGATGAATTTGGTTTTCGTTTAGAAAATTATGGTGATAATTCAAAAGAGTGTATTATAGATGATGATTTTTATGAAAATCCTCAACACAGGTATTTAAGCCCTATATAAATCTGTATTTTAAATATTAATTAATAATAATATTTATAATTTTATTAATAATAGAATGGAGTGGATTTCTTATTTTGAAAATATGTATAAAAATGAATCATCAGAAACAGGAAAAACTTCATTTAAACCTCATTCAAAAACATTACAATCAATGGTACGTCAAGGTATACCTCATTCGCTTAGACCACAATTATGGATGAAATTTTCAGGTATAATTTATGATTATAGCATTGATTATATTGATATGTAGTCAATGGTTATAGATTTTAATTTTACATAAGAATTTTGCATTTTTAGGTGCTCATATAAAAAAACAATCACATAACGTAACGTACAAAGAAATAGTCAGATCATCAAATAATGATACTTTAGTATCATCAAAACAAATAGAAAAAGATCTTTTACGCACCATGCCTAGTCATGTTTGTTTTAATAATCTTCAAAGTACTGGAATACCAAGGTTACGAAGAGTATTGCGATCACTTGCATGGCTCTACCCTGATATTGGGTAAATTAAATTAATTAAATTAAAAATATAAAATAATAATGATAGTTAATTTTTAGTTATTGCCAAGGAACTAGTATGATTGTAGCATCACTTTTACTGATACTTGAAGAAGAAGAATCTTTTTGGATGATGAGTGCAATAGTTGAAGATTTATTGCCAGCATTATACTACACTACAACTTTAATTGGTAAAATAGTTTTAATTTAAAACAATATATTTTTAGTCATTATTATTTTGTATTTTTGTAGGTGTAAAAGCCGATCAACAAGTGTTACAAACTGTCTTAGGGAATTGTTTACCAGGAATTTGTCAACTTTTACGATTACATGATATTGAATTAAGTTTAATCACAGTTAACTGGTTCTTGACGTTGTTTTCCAATGTTGTCAACTTTAAAGTTTTATTAAGAATCTGGGATTTATTATTTTTTGAGGGTTCAATTGTTCTTTTTCAAATTACAATTGGACTTCTTAAACTAAAAGGTATACGTAATTTCTTTACTAGACATTATTTTATTAGATAAAATTAAATTTTACATTTTTTTCAACTTCAAATGTAAACTCTAATAAAGTTAAAAATAAAATAAAAAACATTTATTATTATTGGTACTTTCTTGTTATACAAAGATGACTAGTTTGTTTTATGAAACATCACAATCCTATTATCTAATACTGCCAAAGTTTGCCACCAGCTTTCATATTATTACAAATTACTATATTTTTATTTATATTAACCCATCATTAGTCACACTATGGTCAAAATGGCTGAACTTTTTTTACATTTAATAAAACATTAAATTTTAAATTTCAATCATTGATATTCATGTAATATGAATCAATAATATTCAATCGATAACATTTTTAAAAGATATACTGAGTGTAAATGATTGAAATATAAAATGTAAATGTCTTATTAATGACCTAAAAAGAAGTGTTGTCATTTTGACCATAGTGCGACTAACACCTAGTTCATAAATATTATATAAATACCACATTAATTTTTTTCTCTATGTATTCAATATGTTTTGTGTATGGTTACTGATAAATTGTTAAACAATAAATAATATTATTGTTGTCAACATATGTTTACAACGCAAACAAAATTGGTTGGTAATTTTACAAATAAAATAATAATACTTAAAAAAAAATACGGAATTCATTAAATAAAAATTAAGTAGGTTTTGGTAAACATGCATTAACTAGTAAAATATTATAAATTATTTATTGGAGAAAATTAGATTTTGATTGTTTTTAAAATGTTGGTGAATTTGCATTCTTTTTATGATCTGTCGCCACACAAATTCAACTAAGTAATCTTGGGTGGTAGACACGATAATAACTGTAGTCTTGTATATTTAACAGAAAAGTACCTAATTTTTATTCTTTAAAAATATTATTTTTTAGTTTGATTGGGTCTTGGTTTCATTACTATACTCTAGGATCTAAAATTATGTTCTATACATTTAAGAACAAAATTACCATTTAGATTGTATACTTTTTAATTCTGAAAATTGTACTATTATTATGACAGTTTTCAAGTTTAAATAATGAATAGTATAATGATATAAGTGAAATCATAAAAAATAACTGAAGGTTTTAACTTTTTATAATAATAAAGTAATATCACATTAACTTAAAGTATGCATGTATTAATTTAAAACAATTCAATTATTATTTAATATTCGCTTAAAATATTTAATTTAAAACAATTCAATTATTTAATATTCGTTTAAAATATTTAATTTAACAATTCATAAAATAAATAAATTTTATAAAACAATAATATTTTAAATAAACTAATATTCAAATATAATTAATTTACAAAAACACTTCTGTGTAATAAAATGTTAATACGTTTTTATTGAAAAATTCCATTGTTTTATCTATAATAGTTATTTTTGGTATCAATCAACTACTAAACACATTTTTGTAAATTATTTTTTAAAATTAATTATTTAAAATATACTTATTAGATTGAACTATTGTAACTGGTCTGTTGTATAATGTTTGCTATTTTCTAACAATATTATAAATGTATAATAAAACATATTCATTCATCATTATAGTTAAAAATATTTAGTGTTCAGATAAAATAAATATATAATACCATTGATTATAATATAATTTATTATTTAAACTTTATTTATTTCCTTAATGCCTTAAAGGTAATTTTATTTTCATTTGTAATTATTTTATTTTAGCTTAGTTATAGCTTAACACAGGTTTGTTAGTTCCTAAATCCTATATTATTTTGTTTTTATAACAAGTTTTGCTTAATTTTTAAAATTTTCAGAACCATTATTAAAAACACTTGATAACTCTGCTGATATCTTCAATGCTTTATCTAATATACCAGGAAATATAAATAATATTCAAGAATTATTTGAAGTAATTATATATTGTTTAGTTAAATGTATCTTATTTTATTATTATTTAGATATTTATCATATAGGTATGTTTTGATGTATGTCCAGAAATTAACAATGAAAAAATTGAAGCCTACCGAAGGCGATATTTAGGATATTTAATGGCTGACGGAGGAGCTTTAGTTCCAAATATCAATTCTTCGACAAACCTACCTAAACAACATCTTAATAGGTCAGAAATTACTATTCAATTTAATAATGTATACTTATAATTTTATATTTATATATATAATAGAAGACAAATTCGAAAATCAAGATCTTTAATGCAAGTGTTACTGTTTGGTGATGAAATAAATGAAAATAATTCTAAAATTACTTTAAAATGCAAAAATATTCGTCAAACTGGTGTGTTAAATTTTTTTAGATACTGAAGTAAAAAAAATAAAATTATAATTAAAATTTGTAAAATTTCTTTAGAATTTTTGGTTGATTTAAGAGAAGCAATAATGCAAGTAGCTCGTCATTTTGTGATTGTTGATTCTAAACTTAGTAATATTTCTTTAAAGCCAGACTATACTAAAGAAAGTCATTCGAAAGACTTGGAGACTTATACTAATGTTTCAAGAAATAAAAAAAGAAGAGCAAAAGCACTTTTAGGTAAGTTTTATATTATTAACTTAAAAATTATTTAAATTTAAAGATAAGCTTGGGGTTGATAAAAAAAAAAAGTCCTTGTAATAAGAAAGATATGTCAGAAGATGCTATTAAAGTGGGACCTGTAAATAGGAGGTAAATAAGATATAAATCTAATTTTGTGTAGATCACTATTTTTCAAACCAGAATAAAAATATAATTAGTGATACATAGTAGGTTAGGCCAGAACAACAATCTATTCGCATTCAATTCTCATAAAAATTATGTAGAGATTTCATAATTCATATATTGTAATGACAATGTTCAAATTGTGGTATTTTAACTTTATCTCAATGTATATCAGTGATGAACCCTCTGCATAATTTTGATGAGAGCTGGGTGCAGGTAAAGAAAATTGTTCTGGTTTAGCTTATTGTGTGCAACTGTTTGTTTTTTATTCTGGCCTAAGTATAATATTGTAATTTTTATATTACTATTTACTTTTAGTATTAAATAATTTATTATGTAATTCACTCAGATCTGTATTTTGACCTAAAACATATTTTAAATGTATACAAACTAACAACAAATGATTTGAAATAGTTTTCTGTAGTGTTATAAAAAAGTCAATTATAGTACAGTTATCTGTGATTATTTTTATAATTTACAGATTTTGAAAGACATGATGATGATGAATTAGGATTTAGGAAAAATGATATTATAACAATTATTAGCCGTAAAGATGAACATTGTTGGGTTGGAGAGTTAAACAGTTTAAGAGGTAAGTGAGTCTTAAATAATTTAATTTTAACTAATAAAAAAATGCATAATAGGATGGTTTCCTGCAAAATTTGTGGAACTCTTGGATGAAAGAAGTAAACAGTATAGTATAGCTGGTGATGATTCTATATCAGAAACAATAACAGATTTGGTGAGAGGAACACTTTGTCCTGCTATAAAGCAAGTACTCGAACATGGAATGAAACGGCCATCATTTTTGGGTACATCAACAATTTTTTTTTTTTTAATAATGCAGCTTAAGTTTTAATATTTAATAAATACTACATATTAAAGACTGACAGTGATATGTCAAATAAGTAGTAAGTTAAAAAATAATTTTGAATGAAGTATAGATTATTATGTGGATTAAGTACATACTTTATTTATTTAATTAACTCATTAAGCTAGAACAGGAATTTAATTATTAATTTATTGTAATTTAATTATGTTTACTTAGGTGGGCCATGTCATCCATGGCTGTTTATTGAAGAAGCGGCAATGATGGAAGTAGAAAGAGATTATAGTTCTGTTTATAGTAGATTAATGTTATGTAAAACCTACAGATTAGATGAAGATGGTAAAGTTTTAACTCCTGAAGAGGTAAATAAATTATAATTTTATTACCATAATACTGTTTTAGGATTTTAAAAATATTTGTATAAATATATGTTATTTTTAATATTATGCTTGTAACTAATTTCATCATCAATAGTTAATTCTCCCTCAATTAGAGATGTAACAATATCCTGTGAGGACTTCCTATTTCAGTGAAGAGTAGGGTGCTGTTTTTACTTGAATACATTTTAGTTATTTATGTATTGTAAAATGACTTCATGAAAATAATTTAAATATTTGTTTTTAAGCTTTTATATAGATGTATTCAATGTATAAATCAAAGCCACGATACAGCTGGTTGTCAAATGGATGTAAAATTGAGAAGTCTAATTTGTCTTGGTCTTAATGAACAAGTATTACATTTGTGGCTTGAATTGTTATGTTGTTCTGATCAAGTTGTAAAAAAATGGTAATGTTTGTGATTGATCAGAATTTAAACCCAAATTATTTTGTATTTTATATATTTATTAGGTATCAGCCTTGGAGTTTTGTTTGCAGTCCAGGATGGGTGCAAGTAAAATGCGAATTAAGAGTTTTATCACAATTTCCATTTAATTTAAATCCAGATTGGGAACTTCCTCCAAAAAAGGAAAACACTCAGACATTGAAAGCTGGGGTTAGAGATATGCTTGTGAAACATCATTTGTTTAGTTGGGATCTTTAATAAAATACTTTTAGGGATAATCATAATTGTATTTTTAATTCTAAATCATTATTTTATAATTAATCATTTAAATTGATATTTATTGATTGTTAATTGTTTTTATTTTATTTTATGAAAAGTCTTTGTGTGTGGCTGTGAATTATTTTTATTTTTTATGTTTACAAAATATATAAACATAATATATTATTACAAATTAACATGTATATTACATTTGTTGTATATAGATAAGTTTTTAAGTTAAAATGTATAACATTAATACTTTCTTTATTATAATCATACCAAATAATTAATAATAATAATAAATATGATACCATTGAAAAATATGATTTAATATAAAACTAATTTTCTAAGAATTACAATGATTCTCAAAATAAACCATTGGTTTTAATTATTCTAAGTTTTGTCATTATTATACAGTACAATTTTTTTTCAAACTATTTAAAAAAATGATTTTATATGATAATCCATGAGAACAGTATTTATTACTATCATTTGTTCCTACAGTTGAAGTTTATGTCTTGTTTACCTATACAAACAATTATTTAAAATAGTAACAAATTAATATACTGGATAAAGTCATAGAGAGATTTACACTATTAAACTTAGGCATGATATAACAGTATAAAATAAAAATTTAGTGTCACATAATTTATTGGTGGTATACTGATAAGGAGATTACACATATTGATGAGTTTAAAGGTGTATAGATAGGAGTGGAATTTAATTTTTTTTTTTAATCTGAGAAGGAAGCATAATTACTTTTAGAAGATTATTAACATTGATTAGGAGTACTTTTCTCGACTGCTGCTGGCATACATAAGAATGATCAACTGAACACGACACATATGGCACAATTATACTTCAGCTATAACTGTTTTCCATATTCAGTTTGTTACAGAGTATTGCATAACATGGATTAAATATTTAATCCAAGTATACATTATATACATTTATGTGACATTGGTTATTGAACAAGGGAAAGCATTCATTTTCTTATAAATAAGCACTACAAAAAAAGTCATAGATTTCTTTTTTCAAATAATTAATTTATTTACACATACATCAAAGAAAACCCAACTTAATTTAATTAACCAAAAAATTAGGCAACGTTTATTTCTGTTAACAAAATAATATAATAGCCTCGAAACAATGAACAATTTAAATTACCACCCTGTGATTGCATTTTCATTATGTTACACTATATTTTGTACGTCTAAAATATATTAAACTAAGGCCTCACTAATCAAAACTATACAGACTAATTATATAACATTACATTTTTAATTGAAACCATGTAATTTTAGTTAACAGTAAAATATAGTCACGTTTAATTAATATCAAGTACATAGCAAGAGGACAAATTTCTAAATAATTTTTCATTTGTAAAATGTGCTTGAGCACATTTTACACTTAATTATTTTAAAGAGATATATTTGTCCAAATCCTAATTGAAGCACACAATTCATTTTATTGAAACCTGGACATCACATTTATCACAGCTCATAATCTTTTTCAACATAACAACAAAATATAACCATTACATGTCAAGATTTCAATTTTGGAAAAAACATAAAATTAAATAAATCAAATATAACTAATAAGATGTAATTAAATAAATCAAATATAACTAATAAAATGTAATTGAATATAATTTATAATATCATATAATATGACGTATAGGTTTTCTAGTAACAATATAATCATAGAAGTGAGATCTAATTGAACTTAATTTTTGAAAGCTTGCTTAGTATATAAATACAAAGAAATAAGACTGAATTTCAAAACTATAAAAGTGTTTATAATTTGTATTATTAACTTGCATGAATTTGATAAGTCTATTCATTTATTTTGTCTGAGAAATAAAATACATTTTCCATTAAATTTGTGTCCAATATTAAGTTTTGTTTAATAAGTTTAATTTATATAACGAATAAGTGATATTAATTATTAAATTGTATTTGAATAACAAATAAATTAATAAATATAATACTATAAATATTATTAAATTAGTCTCCATATATCACTACAACATCTCTACATGAACCATAAGTGTACATTTAACAGAACAATTTACTCAATATGTTTTTCTTCTATTACTCTCACTATTAAGTCTAATTCTGAATGACTAGCATCTAAATGATGGTAAAAGGCACTTGGATAAAACAAAAATAAAATAAAATAAATAGTCATGCAGGTCCATGGAACATAAAAGACAAATGAGTAAAATTATCACAGTTCACTAATTCCATAATTTTATACACTGCAAATAAATTTTCAACAAATGAATCACACATCAATATAACCATTTATATGGTTTCAAACTAAAAATAGATAATATTCAACACTTTTTAACGGGCCCATATCACAGTGAATTTAACAATGATAACCTTTTACAATGGTCGGTATTAAATTACATAATATTAATTTATCACAGAAGTAAAACAAAAAATTAAGTTATTGTTTATACCGTCAACAAACCATATGATTATGGAGACATTATAATGAGCCTACAGTGCTTTTCTCATAAAAAAAAAAAAAAAAAAAAAAAAAATGTAATTAAATTAAAAGTAAATTACATCAATTGGCTAAGATAGTTTTTAAACAATATTGGATTAGATGTTGGTAACTTAAGGCTGATACATCATTGGTTATCTATTTTATAATCTAAAAGGTATAATATATAATAATATAATATTAACAAATAACATTGAACATAAATATAAATTAACATTTTTTTAGAAAATAATTTATAGGTAAAATGAAAAAGATGAATATTCACTATAGTCCATTGTATCTATATTTTATTCAGATAAATCTTTGATGCAACAAATATTTAATTCATTTTTAAATCAACAAATATGTTATTTTGCAATGGGGTAGATAGATAATTATATTATGATTTTATAAATATAGATTTATAATAATTTTAATAAATTAAAGATAATTAGTGTCTTAAAATCTAATTAAGATTCCTAGTAAGACTTGATTTTTAATTAAAAACTGTTCTTTTTTATAATAAATGACATTAGCTATCCAGTAAGTGTTATTCGTGCAATGATTGAATACATCAAAATCAAATTACTTTTAACTTTGAAGCTTATACATAAAATGGACCATCTTATATTCATTTTCTATCAAGTCATCAACAGACTATAAATTTCAACAATAAAACAATAACAATCGAACACTCACACAATAAAAATAACAGGTAAACGATTAATATGGGTATAACTAGAAGAAAAATTAACTAAAGGGTAACAACAATAAATTAAATAATAACAATAAATGTATCTTACATATTTTTTTGGGTCAAGTTGATGGTAGCTTGTTAACACTGTGTGAAGAGTCCACTGTTGTTGAATTATCCGTTGTAGTATTATTATTGTTAGGACGTGGATGTCGATAAGATACATGTTTTCTCAATGCATCTCTGGATCGAGAAACATGACTACACACTGAACAAGCATATTGTGCATTTTGGTGGGTTTCCATATGAACGCGCAAGTTGTAATGATTACTAAGTTGTTTACCACATATAAAACACATTGTATATAGCTTGGATACTGGTGTTCGTGATTTAACATTATCTGACTGTGAACCCTGTACTACTGGACCTATGAACCATAAATCAATTCTATAGTTGACATATGGAAATTTTCTTGTCTTATGAAAACAGTTCAAAATCATAGAAAATTACACAAAACCAAAAATATTCCGTCTTAGATGTACTTTGAACATGGAAAAAAAATTTAGCAGTATAAATTTAATATTTTATAGATTTGACTTACATACAGTTATAATTGCATGAATGGAGTTTATATTACCAATTCATTTTTGTAAATGCTATTTTAAGTTTATAGGCCATAAATATTTATGTAGATTTCTTGAATTCTTAACCATTTTCAATTTTAATAAGCTAATATTAATAAAACTGTTTTCACAAAATATCACAATTATATAATCGAGTAAACTATATGCTATATTTTAATGATACACAACAATAATTTTTCAATATTGATAATGTTTTAATTAGTATGATATTGATGAATTATGATTAATATATAGCTCAATACAGAATATAAATATAATACTGTTTATTTTATAATAATTTAGTGTTTAATTTAAAATGTATTGAGTTAAATTTAAGAGATTTCTCATATTTGTATAATTCTTCAAAAGTTGTAAAATATCCTTGGTAACCATACAAAAGTTTACATTAAATATTTTGTCATAAGTTAGGATTAAATCATTTTTATTAATTTTTATTGTATTTATTTACTTTGAAAATTATACTTTTTGGAAAGGCTAAAAATAATATACCTGGGAATTGACACTCCTAAAGACCCAACCTAATTGTACTTAATTGTACCTACAAGAGGCTGATTCACTTGACCTTTGTAACTCAAAAAAAGTTTTTAAAATATTCTATATATTGATTTTAAATGTATAAGAACAGTTCACCTATAGAAGTCACCCCTCTGTAGCTCAACTGATTTTGAGCATTCAAAATAATATTTTATGACCATAAGATTATTTTTAGCGAAAAGACAAAAGATAAAAAATTAGAGTAATTCAATAGTAAAATTAAAGTTTAGTATCTCGTATATTAGATTTTATACAGTCAATAATATAAAAATCCTATACTGACTCTAAACATTTTTATAATTTATAAACCAATATATAATATCAAACATTTCAGTATTCCAAATTATTTCAGATTGAAAACTATACAAAAATATATGTAAATATAATTTATAGTACTTTATAAAATATAAAAAGGTAATTAATATGGTTTCAGTTTTAATACAAACTAAATTATTAAAATGTATATGAGTAAGGTTAGATAAGTCAATAACTGATCATTATCATTAGTTATTTAAATAAATGATAATTGAAAAAAAAACCAAGAGAATTTATTAATAAAATCAACAGATTAAATTAATAAAATTCATTAATTTATAAAAATGACATACCTTGAACTAAATCTGTAGGTGTTGGAGCTTCTTCACCATAAGATACATTTATTTCTGATGTGGACGGTTTATGGTCAACATTAGTAGTTAAGTTTACAGTATCGTCTTGACTATCATTTTCTGGAACACGCTTACTTAGATCTTGAGCAACATCTAAATCAGCAAAAACTACAGTTTCACTCAATGTGGGTCTTGATATTTCTCTTTTGAAAGATTCTGGCTCTTCCACTCGTGGTCTTTTCCACTTGGACGATTTCTCAAATCTGCCAGATGAATAACCTGGTACCTAAACAAATATTTTGTTACATAGATAATTAATTTAGTGATCAATGTATACATAAAAAAAATAGGTAATAAGCAATAAATTAGTATACAAGGTAAGAATAATTTAAATTGGTAAATTAATAGAAATTTAAAAATAGTAAATTTTTATGAAAAATACCATGTACAATAGGTATTTGTAGCTTAGGAGAATATTATATTTCTCTATTGGATTACTTTTGACTGAATCAAAATTTTTACTGGCTAAAGAGTATTTGAATATACATTTAATGGAAAAATTTGAAATTTTAATAAGTACATATAGGTAGTATAATTAATATTTTATAAATTATTTATATTATTAATTGATTTTTAATTGTTCTAACTTTGTTTGGAACCTTTATAATTAATAAAAGGTCTAATATTTATAGTAGTGTGTTTAGTGAGTTATAATAAAAAATTTCTAATTAAAATTCAGATAAAGCAAGTGCAATATGTTTAATTATTTAAAAAAAAAAAAAAAGTACTTACATTAGAAAACTCAGCTAAACCTTTAATGTGTAATGTGTCAGCCATGGAAAGCATACTAGCAAGTTGATGCTCATAAACATTTACTTCACCACTGTACATAAATGTGACTAGAGCACAGAGATCAGTAAATTCAACCCCAGGCAAAACGATGACTGGATGGTGACTTGCTCCCAATTCCTATGGTAAATTTAATAGTTTTAAAAATAATTATAAGATAAAAGTATTAATTATGTCATACTATAACATGTACATAAAATAAAAATTAAGTATAATTTGTTTATTTAAATAAATTTATCCCATTAATTTACTTAAAAAAATAGAAGTAATTCTTATGATTTGTATAGAAAACTTAAGTGTCATACTACACAAATTAATAAAAGTATAAATTATTCAATCAACTTTCAACTAGATTTTTAATTAAAAATTATTATTTTCCTGAAACATAAATTTACATGAATTAATTTAGTTAAATATTGGTTATCTAAGGAAAAATAAACAAAATATTTTAAACTAATTGTTTAAAAAATATTTTAAACAATTAGGTAATTAGGTATATAAAGTGCTACAAGATTTACTGTGTGTGATATCTACGGTTTTAATAATTATACTCCAACTAAAAACAAATATTAGATACTTAATAACTATTTTATAATAAAGAAAAAAATTAAAAATTATGATGTTGATGAACTTAAGTTGTTATATTGTTGAATATTTATAATTTCTAAAAGAATAACCTCAACAAAGACTGAAAGACCAGTTTAGAAATAAGAATTTGTTTTGAAATTGTTTGTATTTACAAATGTAGAAAATATATATCTTTTATTTTAATACATTATTAATATGTTTGAATTAAAAAATAAATATCATCAATTATAAATATAATGATAAAATTGTATAAGCTTTCTGTATAGGCTGTGTGCTAAATAAATAAATAAATAAAACAATATTAAGATTTTATTGAAGACTTTAAAATATTAAGCAGATGGTCCAGATAAATTCTAATTCTAACCTTTATTAAAGGCTGTTTTAATACCATACCTTCTAAATATATTGATTTACAAAATATTATAAGTTCAAATAAAAAAAAAAAAAAAAATAAAATGAATTATAAATACTTATTAAATATTTATAGTTATTTAAAAATATTTTCAAGCCTTAGAATAGGGCAATTTAAGATTAATTATCAGACATTTTTTGCTTTTAAATTGTTGAGTGATTAAAATGTGGTTAAAAATTTAAATATAAAATAATATTATATCTTACTTTTGTGAGTGCTTTGAATAATTGTTTGAAATAATCACTACACGCAGATAGAACAACACGATGTGCTTTAAGTGTTCTCAAACCAGCGCATAATGTAACATCTGTCAGATCATCATGATTTAAAAGCTGAGGCAGAGTTGACATAAGTGAGCTTTGATAATTATGCCATCTAAGACAGAACTGTTGTGACTCTTCTGTACTCATTCTGTGAGTGTGGATTTTTACAGAGCTGAAATTTTTTTTTTAATTTTAGATAATGTAAAAGGAAAATATATTAATTCAATTTAAATTCATTAATTAAATTTACTCAAATAAAATAATATAATATTAACAATAGTGATCGAGTACATATAACAATATAACTAATTTATAATTTTGGTTGGTTTCCAAAGCAAACATTTTTTTACAGTAGCAAGTTAATTTCTTGATATAAATCATTAATTTATTCAATTCAATTCCTATCTAAAATATTATCTCAAACCTATAAGTTTGATCGCAATTGCAATAATATACATTTTTAGATTTAAGCATCAAATAGATAATTTTTAAATGTACTATAGACAAATATGCAAGAATATTATATTGATTCAAGCTTCAAATAAATGTACGTGGTTCAGAATTAAATCAATAATATACACTTGTGTATACTTGTACATAATGTTACATTTTCAATTTATTTATTTATTTTTAAATATTATTTAATTATATAACAATAAATATAAAGCAATTATATTAAAAACTATTTTCTACCTAAACATAGTATGGTATATATATTTTTAGTAAATTATAATACTATAATAGTAAGTATTATACAAATTTATAAAAATTAATTTTGAAATTGATAGTTTAAGATAAAAAAACAAGAAACTAAACTATTAACTATACAATTTAAATTAAAAAAAAAAAATCTATACTATACATTGTAATTCTAGTAATGCATTTATGAATGTGTCTAATTCTAGGTTTAGGTATTTTTATAATACCTATTTATAATAAGATACTAATTTTTCTAACATGATTTATTAACTGTAAAATCACAGGTTACTAAAAAAATTAGTCTATTTGAAAATGTGAAAATTATAGATTAGTATGCGTTGACAACATTTAGAATACAGATTTTTAAACATATTATGTTTAGCAGTACAACAATATCTCAAAATTTTATTAAATAATACTCAAATTTAATTATGTTATAATTTTAAATTGAATATTTTCAATAATAATATCTTTTACTGGCCTAATTTTTAAATAGTGTAGTATTGAATTTTCAAATAGAAAATCATAACTTAACTATCAATTGTATACAATAGACAGACTCATATAATAATTATAATATACTTTATACCATTTTGATAACAGACAAATTATTTTCAAATATAATAATCTATATACTTTATTTTACCTATATAGACTATTAACTAGTTTTAATAGATTTTATTAGTTGTTATAAATGGTTCTTTGTTTTATTTAACAATTATTTTTTTTATTTATTATAAATATTAATATATATAGTAAATATATATTTATATATAGTATATATTTAGTAAATTATGATACACAAAATCATTAGATTAATTTTATATTTTTTCCTAAGATAGTATAAAAAAAAAAAAAATTTAAATAATTACAAAACTGAGTAAGTGAGTACTAAATGAGTAAACAAAATTATTTAACTTAATTAGATAACTATTTGATATTATAGCAATAAAATTAAAACATAATACTTTTATAATTGTAATAAGTGATATATTCTGTTGTGAAATTATTTTAAACAAATAAAATCAGTAACTGAAGGTGGTTTTTGTTCATCCATTAGGCATGGAAAAATATCTTACCTTGATGAAATCACTTAAAACTAATGATAAATAAATAAAAACAAAGGATTTTTTTAATAAAATATAATAAAAAGACAAGGACAATGAGCGCCCAGAAAATTTGAATTTGATCCAGCACAATCTATTATTATAACTCTGGATATGCTGGAAATAGGATTTTTGGACAATAGCCAATCAGAACAAATATTTTATCATGACACAAGGAAATGTTCAATTCATAACTGGTTTATATGGTATTTGTTAATCGTCTTTTTTCAATAAGGTAAGCAACTAGTTCTATTTAAATTATTCGAGTGTAAATTAGAGTAAAATAATGTAAAAACTTACTTTTGTGGTAAATTAAATGAATCTTCAATTAATTTTCATAAGCACTTCCACACAATTTTTTTATTTTTTTATAATTTTTTTTTTCAAGTGCACTTGGAGTTTGTGATAAGGTTAAAGAAAACACGTCACGTGATAAAGAAACAGCTGCTTTTACATTTATATTCATTAATGCAACTCATTGAGAAAATGGCGGGAAGAGTTAAGAATTTAGTTAAAAATATATTATTGCTAACACGAACTATCAATTATAATCATAGTTCGTGATTGCTAATAAATAATCACTGCAACTACACTATACTGTACAGTTTTTGTACACTGCTCTTATTTTGATACTATACTAGGGGTAAGATAATTTATCGATTTCAGAATTTAATCATTTCTTTCTTTTATACAGTAAACTTAACATCTGATGTAAACATATTCAAGTTGTGTTTATTTTTCTTTCAGCAACATTTGAACCAAGTGCTACACAAAAATAATATATTTATTTTTTTTTAATTTTCAACAGCTCTTGTGAAAATGTCAAGTTAACATTTTAGGTAGTTAAACGTTTGTGTAAAATATTAATGTAATCGAACTTTGCTGAGATTTTTAAATATAAAGCAATACTATATCAATATAATAACAAAGTAAGAGATTCATTAAGAATGTATGAAAACTAATGATATCTAATAAAAAAATATTGTAATTATAAAAATTATTTTACTGTTCTTAGTATTAGAGTGCTTTTAAACAGACTATAGTTAATATATTTGTATTAGTTTACCATAATGTCACCGAATATTAATACAATATATTATAGTATGTTCATTTTTTTTTGAATTTTGTAATTTTAAGTACTTAGCCATCTAATATTATTACACTGAAAGTATTATATAATTATAATTGTATAATATTTTTACATTTTATGAATGCTTTGATAATAATATTGTAACAATTACATTAATTGGTTCTTGGGTGCATATCATTATTTTTTAAAAATATTTCTTTAAAATTTTTTAATCATGCAATGGTAGGTACAATTACTTGTAAGTTATAAGTTACCAAATTTATTTCTTTACATGTTTACTAAAGGAAAAAAACATAACATGGTGTAAAAACATTGTTTTTACAGTTATTCATTAATTAATGATACATAAAAATATTAAAAAAAAATCTAAAATAATAAAAATTATATTATATTTAAAATATCACATAATATAATAATGTCTTTTATAAATTAATAATGATACTTAATAATTAATTTGTATAGTATCTATAGTTGTTTTTAACAATTATTTTTATAATAATATACATAATTAAATTTGAGTTGAATACATTTTATTGTTAAACAATTAATTGTAATTAATACTTAACATTTAATATAGGACTTAAGTATTATACATAAATATAATATAAATACATTATTATTTAAAATTTACTAACTAACTACTATTTATGTTGTGGAGTCAAATTATTTGATATCAGCCTTTTTCTGTTATGTAATTGAAAATGACAAGTCTCATCAATTAATGTAGGGTCATAATTTGAATCTTCATCACATAGTGGTGGTCTTGCTCTAATTCCAAATGTAGTTGGGCGAGCATTTGGATTAGGAGATAACATTAAACTCAATAAATGATACTGGAAAATTATAAATATTTTCAATAAATAAATATTTTCATACTCATATAAAAATACTTTACTTCATTTTTAAATTTTTTTGAAAATTGAGAGGGAAATATGTTATTTCTAAGTCTAGTTAACGTTTGATACCTTTCCATTTCGGTGGTGAAAGGATTGAGCAATTCAAAAAATATAACTCCAAGAGAATAAATATCTACTTTATAGTTATAAGACATTCCTGAAATCTATTTTTTTTTTTTTTTTATGTATTATAGGTATATTTTAAAATATCAGTTTAATCATTATTACCTGTTCAGGACTCATATATAATTGTGTACCCACTCGATCAGTATGTTGTTCGTTTAACCACTTTTTTTTACCATCATTTGTATTCATACCTTCATCAGATTCTATCATTTCTGTCACTAAACCAAAATCACCAATTTTGATTTGACCATCTAATGAAAAAAATATGTTTGAAGGCTAAAAATAAAATAAATTGCATATTAAATAGTGGATAGAAATAGTTTAAAGTGAAAAGTTTAAAATTATTAGTAAAATTGCAAATATCATGTTTTTTACTATGCTTGTACTAAGTTTTTAATATAATAAAATGCCATATAATATTAATTCATTTTATTGAATAGACTGCCTGGATTCTAAAAAAATTAGCTATTAATGATTTTAAATTGTAATTATCAACAAATTTTTAAATTTTAAATTAAAGTTCATTGTAGTCAAATATAATAATAGAAAAAAATAAATAGATTATACAATTAATTGGTTTATTTAAAACTAAATTATAACCATTTAAAAAATATGTATATCTTTTTATTTATAACTTAGAATAATTTATGTCTTAAATTTTAATAAATTATAAATCATACTTTTAAATCTCTATGTATTAATCCTTGTAAATGAACATATTCTACAGCTTGAACAATTTGTGTAAAAATACCTAAGATATACTTCATATTCCTATTTTCAGTATTATCTTTTAGCCATTCTCTTAAGCTATTCTGATGACAAAGTTGCATTTGTATGTATAAGTAATGTCTATTTGGTCTCCTATCACCATGAGTATTACTTGTTGTGTCACATTCTGATTTATGTCTTCGTCTTTTATTACCTTTGGGTAAGTTATCTGTGCTCATATCTAATATATAATCTTTTTTACTATTGTCATTTGTTTGATTATCAAAAACAATAAATGATGAATCACTCAAATCGTTACACTGAGATCGTAATGCTTGAGGGTTATTTAAAATATCAGATAATTCTTCACTGTTTTCTGGAAATGTTATCATAGTAGATAAGCTTTTAGCTCGAATATGCTGTTTGATGGGCCCAAGAAAATTATTCTTAATCTTTATTTCTCCTGAAGTTATATTACTATTACTTATATCCTCATCACTGGAAAAAAAAAATACAATTTAAATTTTTTTATTTATTAAACATCAATTAGTTTAATTTTTATTGTTAAAAGCTTGACTCATAAAAAACTAAAATAAATAAAGACTTTGATTTACCATAGAACTCAAATATTCTAATTCATAAATAAATAATATAAAAATTTGGGAGTTGATTTTAGGAAATGGAATACTGATCAATGTTCTAGGGATACTAAAATATATTGGTCAGGTTTCAGTAAGGTATAATTTTGGTATTTAGTTTTTAATTCAAATATAACAGTGACACTAGAATAAAATAATAAGCATAGAGCAATAAAAAAGTGACAAAAAGTATAAAAACTAATATATTGTAATTTATTTTACCAAGATTTTTGTATCCAATCATTATCATATTTTTCTTGCCATCCAGTTGGAGGTTCTTCAAGCCAAGTGTTGAAATACCGTACAATATGTTGATGGTCTAACTTTGCTAATGCTTTAACTTCACGAAGCACACGATTTCTAGATTCTTCTCTAATAGATATAATTAAAAAAAAAAAAAAAATTATACCAAATAGATTTTAATGAAGGAGTGAATAAAAAAATAAAATAAAATAATTTGTGATCAATCAATGATGTAAATTAAATTTTTCATGAATAGTATGTTATACTTTCTCTTTAAGAGAAAATATATTCTTACTGTGATGGTAAAGGTATCCTTTTTATAGCATAGTGACAGTCATCAATTTTATTTCGGGCTTCAAACACAATTCCAAAACCTCCTTTTCCCAAGCAATGAATTGGTTCAAAATCTTGTAAATATCGTGATTTAAACTCAACTGTTGGATGTACTTGTTTTTGAACAGTAATGTCTGTTGATAAATTTACACCCGAGTCTTTATAAGTATCAATATTGTTTTCAATTAGCTTTTCAGTATTTTCATTATCTTCATATTTTTTCTAGTTATAAATTATATGATTTACTAATATATAATAATAGAAAAGACTAATATATTTTAGAAAAACTCAACTTACTGAACGTTTATGAAGGAAAGTAATAATTCGAGCTAAACGAGATGGAATAAATAAATTAATTAAAATAGCAGTTATAACACTAATGAATAGCACTTCTTTCCACCAATACCACAAAGAAACAATAATAATTTCAACCGGCATATCAAGCTCTTCTTCATATTTAATAATATTTTTATGATTATGTTCTGTTTCGTTTTCTATATAAGAACTTTTCTTTTTCTTTTCGTTAGTTAATTTTTTTGATTGTTTAGGACCATTAAGATAATAGCCATTACCTGTTAAAATACAATTTTATTAACTACATTAATTTTAAATAAATTAAATATATTACCATTGATGTATTCTGATGCATACAATACAGATATAGCTGTTGTTTTAGAAACATCATCAGTGGTTTGCACAGCTGAAGAACTTTTTGAAATTAATTGATCTTTAATATAAAAAAAATTAAATAATAAGAAATAATTGATAAATATTTTTAAGATATAACTATAAAGGGTTAAATCTTAAAACATAAAATGTCAGAAAATATAAAGTGGTAAATAATAAATTAGTGTTTTATTCAAACCAGCTCCACTTAAATTATATAAATATTTTAAACGTCTAACCTGGATCATTCACGTATTAATTGGAAAAAAGTTATTATTTTTATAAAACCTTGATAAGACTAGCTAAGAGCAGACAACCTTTTAATAGTAAACATTAATAATTACTAAGAGGTAACAAGTGATAAAAGAGACAATCATATTCTAAGAAATACAATCTATATTACATAGTTGAAAGATTCCATTTGGAATAAAAATATGCAAAATAAACATTTTATTTTAATAAAAAGTACCTAGTAATAATTTTTAATAAATAATAATAATTTTCCAAATTTAAAGGACAAAATATTATTATTAAAGATCAGACTAATTTATTAAATTAGACAAGATTGAATAAGGGCGTGCTTACATTTTTTTTTTGTGGAGGTTAAATATTTTTATGATCACATATTTTAATTGTATTTATTTTACAAGATAATAATTTTGGGAACAATTAATTGTATAGTACTAGATAGATTGACAATGGATTATATAAATAACTCTGGCAAATTTTTATGATATTAAACTTAAACAGTATAAAAATATAAGGCAATACTTTTTTATTAATTTGTTAAAATTTTGCAGATAAATATGGGTGGGGGGGGGGGGTTGAATACCCGAACTGCCCCCTAGGCATACCTTTAGGATTAAACTATGCCAGTGAAAATAGTAAATATTTTAATTTGGAAAATACTAGCTCATTATATAATTATTATATACTGAACTAATCTAAAAAATAAATAAAATATTAAATTAGACTGGACTGATATGATTCAAATATATATATATATATATATATATATATATATATATATAGAACAAGAGTGAAATAAATCTGTCATGTTATAATATATTATATCTTCCATATGAATCTCAATTTTTAATGAGTAAAATTTATAATATGGAGGCTATTTTTAACTCTACTGAAGGTTTTAGAAAATATTAATTTGAAAAAAAAACAAAATTTAGAAAGAATGCTGTTTGGTTCCCGATGTATTTTTAGCAATTTTTATTCAAATATTTCACTGTGTGATTTCAACCAAATCGATAATAACTTGATTTGTTATGAAAAACCACCTCGGCTGTACTAAGATAGGGTTATACCATAATAAGTAAGTACGAAGCGAAATTTTTAAATCTACCTAATTTCAAGCATAAAAAAGTTCACATTAAAAAAAAAAAAATTATTAATTTTAGAGTATTTAAAAATTTGTTAACCATAACTTTTTAAGGCAATTCAACTTACCTTTTTATAGTACTATATTTTATGCATATAAAAACACACACATAAAAAGAAATTAACAAAAATATCTTGGGAACTAAATTGCATTGAAGTCCAAATATTAATATACTATCTTACTTTAAAGCGTAAGACATTTTTTCTCTTCTGAATCATTTAAGTAGAAAAATTATACATAGTATTAAATATATATAAATACTTACTAAAAACAGGTATTGGTTTCCAAGGAATTCTAGATCTATCTTCTTCATCCTCTTCAAGAAGAAGTGATTCTTGATAGGAGGTTGGATTAATTGCAAGCACTCTATCACTTTCTTGAATATATAGCTATAAAAAATAATTAATTATTTATATGTTAAATATTTACAACATATTAGGAACAAACATATTAATAAATTGAAAATTATAATACATTAATTATAGATTAATATTAAGTTTGTAAACAATACTTCAAATTCATATTGATACTAATATTTTTATATAATTATGATATTGATTATTTTATTTTAATTTAATTTTACTTGTTTTTGATGCATTCCAAGATAAACTAAAGGATTTATATCGTCCATGTTATGATTATTTTGAAATAAATCTATTGATTTAATTTTTCCATGTTCATATTTCCAAACATTTACAATGGGGGACTTGGACTAGAAACAATTTTTTATTAATAGAAATTGATTTTAAAAGAATTTAACATTTTATTAATATTCATTACTTTATGAGTCCAGACCACTTGTTGAGGCTGGTCATTTAATACTGCTGTTACAACTCCTTTAGGAATATTTATCTTAAAATCAAGTTTTACACTAGGATTTGTAGTGTAACAATTATTATTCAAATTCGTAATAACTTTAAGATCATGTAAACCAACACTAAAGTTCCACCTGAAAAAATTAAAAATAATGCTAAAAATGTATACAATATATTTTCTTGATTAAAAGTTTATCTAATAAGTAACAACTAAGTTATTGATAATATTCCATTTTTATAAAATAATATGTTGTAATATGTGGTAATAGAAATTTAAATAATTCAGTTGTATATTGGTTCATTAATTAAAAAAAAAAAAAATAATAATAGTAATTGCAGTATGATTTATAAATTGTCAAATATATATAAAATGTCATTTCATTGCAACTATCAAATTGAATATCAATAGTGAAATTGCAAGAATAATGTTGCATTTTGATTATTTTTTTATTATAATTATGTAATTACAGTGGAATTTCCATTTCCATTTATCTATACATAGATAAATTTAAAATTAATATATTTATAATAAAAATTATCCTCATTTATTTTATATTATATTTAGGTACATAATAATAGTTTAAAAATATTATATAATGGGAATATCTGTAGTAACACATTGTCTATTTTGGTAGTGTTGATAGAGATTAAACAATTTTTCTTTTATTATTTTAACATTTAAAAAGTGTATATCGAATAAAATATGATATTAAATATTTAATTACTACATTTTTTATTTGATTTTTTTAAAGATATTTCAGTACCTTAGTCTATTTAATCTGAACACAATTACATGTTAAGTGTAAAGGAATGCTTAAATCAATAAATACTAGGATGATCACTCATCATAGTACTAGTGATTAAGAGGCTTAATCTGAGTTTACAGACTAGGGAACAATCAATCACTCTGCCATGTAGCAAGCTTAACATGAGATATATTAACTTGAAATATAATATTGTAATTTGAAAAATAACCTTTCAACTCCACTTCGAGGTGTTGATGCCCGTACAGTTTGAGTTTGTCTCTGTAAAATTAATATATTTCCATCCATGCTTGTGAAGCTATTACTAGTAATATTATTACAATGGGCCATGTCACATTCATACAACAATTGTCCAGTACTCATATCCAAACCGTAAGTTCGACTTATCTTTCCACCTATAAAATTAAATATATATTTCTAACTAAATTGATTGCTTTTGATATTTAATTAATTTGAATCATACCTGATATTATTAAATCATCATTATACCGAAAAGAAGATTTCAATAAAGAATCAACCGTAAATGGTATACGATCAAGATTTTCACCATCAAATTTGTATAAGCTACCACTTAATGATGGAATCATACGTATCCAATGACCATGGTTTGATAACTTAAAATTAAAATTGTATACATAAGAAGAACGATAGTTTATGATTTATTTATTAATATATCACTATATTTTTCTACTGCAGAACCCCTTAGTGTTTAAGATATTAAAATATACAATTAATAATCTTAGCTTTTTAATTGATCTATTTTCTTATACCTCTAGTTGATCAATACTAGAAGATAATAAAGCTCCAGGTTCAGTTGTTATTTCCCAAGCCTCTTTACCGCCATTAGCCATATTCAATGCTGTTAGTTTTCCATCCAAGGTACTTATGAATATAAATCTATGTATAACATGTACGTAATATGAATATTAAATATGGAAACTATTTTCACTTTTAAACTGTCTCACTGTTTATTGGCGTCATTATTTTCTGAGCAAACTGGTTTGTCACAAAATACAGATTGAGTTCCAAAAATTATTAACAAAAAAGTTAACAAATATTTTACTGTGAATAAAATCATTATTTATAAATTCCATTAAAAAATTCACTATTATTTTAAATTGTTAGGTTTTCATAACAATAGCTATATTATTATTGAAAACATTATCAAATGATCAGAAAATGTTTAAAAATATTAACACTCGTATTTTTTTTAATAAGAATAACAAATTTTAGTGATAATTCACAGTTCATCATAACATTCTATTTCAAGGAACATTGATAAGGTGTCAAACAAAATTGATAATAAAAACACCGATTACATTAAATCAGATAGTGCATTCCATATGCTGCTCGTGGCTGCAATATAAAAATAAAGTGATGCTTTGATAGGTTTGCCTTAATAAGTGTGATCACATTTGTCAACGTAAAATTATTGATTATATATGTTTAAAATATTTCATGTTCTTAGCGGATCAAAATAATTATCACGATGGGTTTCTTAATTTTATGTAAGTTGAGTCTGTTAAAAACATTTTGTCTGGAAAAGTTGCTCCGCTTATCAACATGCTGTTTATCCTGATAGCGATTTTTTTCTAGTTAGTACATTGAGGATGTTATTTGTGGAATTTTTCCACAGTTTTTGGTATTCTTCTTTCTTCTTCTCTTTCCATTTTTTCCCAACTATTTGTGGTCGGCCATCCTTGTCCTAAATCTCCACTCGTCTCGATTTTGTACATTCCCTACGCACACACACGGGCGGGTTTAAAGGGGTGGCTAAGAGGGCATTACCCCCCCTCCCATTGAGACTAAGCTATCTATTTTACAAAGCATGGTATTATTATATCGCACACCTATATCAAAACAGTAACAACTCAAAAAAACGCTTTTTTCAGGAATGTTGGTTTTGTTGGTGGTACCTTGGTATTATTCATTCAAATAAATTTACTTACATTGCCATCTGACGGAGAATATTAAAGATAAAGGTAAACTTGTTTTGTTGATTTATGTAATTTCGTTTGTAGAATCCGAATGTATGTTTAACTAAAAAAACCAACTTTTTGAGTTGTTACTGTTTTGATATGGATGTGCGATATATATTAATAATTATAATAAATTATCGTCAATAGTCATTGATGGATATGGTACCTATTTTATATATTTTTTTTATAAACAAATAGCTCATTTTTGTTGTTAATTATCTGTATTTATCTATATTTTAAAATGGTTTTAGATAAAAATTGATACCAATAATTTAACTATTTAAACTTTGTTGTGAAAAAAATGACTTACTTATGAGGGACTCAAAAACATATTTTGTAATTTAAAATTTTATATAGATTTAAAAAAGCAACTAACTAAATTCTTAAACCTCCATTAGCCCCTCTGGTTAGTGATAAAACCCACCCCTGCGCACACACCAACAGTTCTCATATCGTTCTTGATCGTATCCAATTATCTCTTTTTTGGTTTTTATTTTCCTTGTTTCCCTTCAATGTAAATTTTCATAACTAATCTTACTGTTTTTGTTTCCTCTCGCATAGTTTCGCAACTAGACTACTCGAGGTCTGTGCGCAAATCAAAATCTTGAGACCTCTTATCGTTATAAATTTTTCAATAGCAACTAAAAAAATTTAATTTTAACTTAAATTAAAATTTTTAGATGAGGAGCTATTTTTAAAATTTATAAGTTTGAATAAAATACGATTCTAAATACCTAAATAAATATGATAGTTTATTATTGAAATAAATAATTTACTCTAAAATATTATACCAAAAGAGAATTAAAAAATATAACATAATTATTATCTACCAACAATATATATATATATACTTAGGGTGTATTATTGGGCAAAAAAAAACTAGGTAGTTTACTAGAGTATACAATCATTAAAACAATTAGAACCTATACATTATTTTCATATAATTTTTTTATTATATTTATAGTATATTTTAAATATGAGAATATAATGAAATAACCTAGAAAGATGCGGAGCAAGGGGCATTGGTAAAGTTAGTAAATAACATTGGTTTCATTAAAATAAATTATATATTGATATATTCATGTCAATTATTGGACCTTTTGAGGCCCCATAATGTAGTATGAGGCCCGGGGCCTGTGTGCAATGCACACTCTGCACACCCAGTTTTGACGGTACTGTTTTCACCTCATCACATGCCTAAACCATCTCGGTCTATTTTCTCTAATCTTGTCTACTATCGACACTAAACCAGTTCTACCTCTCGTATATTCGTCCCTTATTCTATCTTCTTTAGTAACTTCACTCATCCATCTAAGCATTTTCGTATACGCAACACTCATACTCTGTTGTTTTCTTCTGTCTCCCGCCCAATATTCTGAACCATATGGCACAGTTGGTTTCACTACATTCCAGTAAAATTCACCTATTAGCATTTTTGGAATTATCTTTTCAGATAATGTTTATTCTAATCTAAATAAAGGTGCAATTTCAAAGAGCCAATGGGTACCCATCCACCCCTCCCCAGAAAATTTCTAGGGCTAAGCAATTGCATTAGGTAAATGTCGTTCACCACGCCACTGATTAATACGTTAATACGTCATCCACCCCAATAGTTATTTTTATATTTGATTGTTGTCTTATTATCTTACCAGATTCCCTGTACACCGATAAATCTCGATACCGTTTATGGTGATTATCACTTATCGATATCATATTCATGTGCACGAAAGAATTAGATATAAATATATAAGAGAAACGATAGAAAATTCTTGCATTATCCATTATTTTCCTATATTTTTATTCTATTTACACTCTAGGCTAGCAGGCCATTCAGCTTCCAGGCCACCGGGATTTTTCCCGATATCCCGGTGGGCCATTTTGCCCCTGATTTATGCTGTGCAGTATCAAATTGCTCTGCATAATGATGATCCTTTAGTATACTTTTTTTATTTATTTCGTATGGTTTTTAACACAAATCAACTTAACTATCAAACTCTAACTAAAATATAAACTAAAACAATACAAAACATGATAGAGATATGAATCTATAAAGGTATAACTTATAATAAAACTATAATAAGTCGAAAATCATAAATAATAATAAAGGTGAGTCGTTCTTGCGATGTGGGTTCATCAATAGATGTCGAGGTTCGTAATCCAGGTAATTGCTTCGGGTGTCACTGCATGCAGGCCTTCAAAACCTTGGTTGAATTTTCTACTTTGGCAATCAACTACTATATGATTTATTGTTTATTCCCCATTTCCGCAGTCACATACTGGGTTATCTTGGAACATCCACTTATTTAGGAGGTAACCACACCGACCATGACCTGTACGCAGTCTATTTAACGTGGACCAGGTACAACGAGGAAGATTAATTCCTAGAACTCCATTATTAGGGTCACATAGTAGCTTATATTTGGTGGTGTAAAGCTTGCCCATTTCTTTCACCATTCCTCGGCGCTATCAAACCCTAAAATTATCAGTGTTCTGGCGTGCTCAACAAGTGGGCTCTTGGATTTTAATCGTTGATTAAGTGTTTGAAGCATCATCTGGTATAAAAGTGAACACTTGTAATCTACAGACTTCTTAATGGTTTTTACAAGTACATCTTTCCTACGAATATGTAGTAGTTTAATATTTGCTAGTGCCGGTAGCCATTACAGTGGTGTAGATTTAACTGTCCCGCTTATTACTCTTATTACGCTATTGAGCTGCGTATCTATTTTGCTTACATATGTGCTATTAAGCCAAACTTGGGACCCATACTCTGCTGTATTATAAACTAGGCTTAATGCTGCTACCCGTAAAGTCTTAGCATCGGCACCCCAGCCTGTTCCAGCAAGCATTTGTACCAGTTTAACCCGGGACCGGGTCTTTTTACTGAGGGTACTTACATGCTCATTAAATGTAAGCGAGCGGTCTAGTGTTATACCCAAATATTTAGGCAGATAATTATGTTTTATACTTATACCGTCAAATTCAACTTCAAGTTTGTCATGAGCTTATCTGTTGTTGAGGTGAAATGCACAAACTTCTGTTTTACTATGGTTTGGCTTTAGGCGCCAATTGTGAAAGTATGTTTTCATTAACTCTAGGTCTTTGGTTATGATTGCACAGCTGCCGTCTTTTAAATCTTTACACTGGAATGCTATTGTTATGTCATCCGCAAATTGGAACTTAAGTCCTTCTGTCATTGGGATATCGTACATGTATAGATTGAACAATGTTTGAGCTATGACTGATCCTTGAGGGAGCCAATTTTTCACTGTTCTCCACCTGCTCTCTTTATTACCTAAGTAAACTTGGAAACGTCAATTTACAAGGATTCCTTCCAAGAACCTCATTAACTTACTGCAATTGATAACCTTACTAAACTTGTACAGCAGTCCATGACTCCAGACCGTGTTATACGCAGCAGAGAGGTCAATGAAGGCTACGCTGGTTTTTAACTTCTTCTGAAAGCCGGTTTCAATTAGTGTTGTTAAGGCGAGGTCCTGTTCTTCGTAACTTCTGTTGTTTCTGAAGCCCGCTTGCTCTACCAGAATAATTTCATCAATATGAGGCTGTATTCTCTCCAGTATGAGTCTCTCCAAGATCTTGTATGGGATGCTTAGCAGCGAGATTGGACGGTAGTTTGCAGCCTCGGTTTCAGACTTTTCCGGCTTTAGAAGTGCGATAACTTTAGCCTTTTTGAACTGTTTTGGAATGTTTGTTGTGTCTAGTATGTCATTGTAGAATTTAGATAGCCACTTCCGTACTCTGGGACCAGCGTGTTTAATGAATCGGGGTATATCCCATAAAAACCAGCTGCCTTATTTAATTTGGTTTTGCTTAAGGCTTTATTAACCTCATCGAGCGTGAAGGGTGCACCAAACATTGTATGTTGTTGTAGTTTTTTCTTTTGACATCTAAGCTCTGCTTTTATGGTTCTACTGTGAACTTTGCATGATCGAGTTTTGCCCATCTCTATAATTCTCGATGCCACCTCATTTGCACTTAGAATTTCTTGTTTCTTCTTGCTATGACTGTGGTCTCCTAGTCTCTTCATCAGGCCCCACGCTTTATGACTCGAGTGAGTAAAGTCTAATTCCGTAGTAGTTTCACTCCATCTCTGTTTTCTTATAGTATTTAGCCTGCCAATGAGATCATCTGCTATTGTGCTGTTATTATTTTTCTAAAAATCTTCAAATAGTTTTGTACAGTCTTCATTCCAGCCAGGTATGTAAAGTTTCCTAAAGCCCCTAGGGATATGTTTACTCGCTACTGATTTGATAGCTCACACTAATCGATCGTAAGAGCTAGCTTTAGGCGGGATCCAAGAGATTATATGGTTTAGTTCGTTTCCATAATCGACTCAATTAGCCTTCCTAAAATTCTAACGTGGTTTAGGTAAGGATCAAATCTATGTGATTTGTAGTTCGTTGTTCAGCAATATCGGACGGTGCTGACTATACGGGAAATTTCTCAGGATGTGTCTCGTTACTATAGTGTTGTCGCTTAAGGAGATCTTAGAAGCTGTGCTCAAGTCCGGGGTATAGTCTTTTAACTACCTTGCTGACAGGAAAGTACCCTTAGCTTTGGCGTTATATATGAGTTGCATGTTGTGTAGGACTATCCATTCCTGAAGTTTGTTTCCATTAGTATCATTTTCGTCGTACCTCCATTCTAGACTGTGACTATTAAAATCGCCTATGTATAAGGCAGGGTGATCGAATGTTATAATTGTGGGGTCTTCCTTTGAGTGATAGGTGGCTTATATATATAAGCGACAGTCCCAATCCCTATGAGGGCTGCCAGTACGTGGCATCTTGGTTATCTTCGAAAATAATCCGGCACGTATCTATATATTCTTTAATATATGTGGCCACACCGTATTGTTTGTGGTGTATCGCTCTAAGTAGTAGGTATCCTTGTATGAATTCCCTTTTTCCTATATCCTCATCGTTTAATGTGTGGGTTTCTTGTAGTGCGATTACATCGACCCTTTCCTTATTCATAATTTTTGACAAAACTGCACATTTTGATTTTGAAATTCCTTCAATATTGAAGTGACACACCCTGAGGTCGCCACCAATACTTAGCGTTAGGTGGTCCTTAAATGGACTGTTTTTATTTGTCATCGCTGACAATGGCGTTGATTTGGGTTACTGGGTTTCAGCGCCTAGTGGTGGTATTGATGCATTAGTTTTAAGCCGAAATCACATATAACTAAACGCACGCAGAGAGGGCTACGAGCAAGCTACCACCATCCTCCCCTTTAGTATACTAAAATTGCTTAGTATAGAATTGGTTCCCGTGTAGAAAAAGTATTTTATTTAACTATGCCGAATTGGTTATGTCCCGTTTTTGAATATAAAAATTTCGGAATGGGGATCTTTGAACCCTACATCTCACCTGGATATGGTCTTGGTTTTGGTTAATTATTAAGGCTGCCATATATTTTGGTTTGAAAGATAAAATATTTTTAATTATTTTTAACATTAACTTATAGACAAATTCTTACAACATAAAAACTTCAGTTGTCTTCTATCAAAGATCGGTTTGAAATGACGAAGAAAATGAAATAATAAACCTAGTAAACATATGTTACCAGTAAAGATGATCATTTAGAAATTGCCATCATTCTCTAGTTATTATTGACTATTCCTGATGATGTTAGGCATTGTTGGATATATCGTAGTTGAATCCAGTGGTGCCGACTTATATTTTATTTGGTGGGGCAAAGTATAAAAATTTGTTTATGCCACTACCCAAAAAATTAGAGCAAAATAATGACAGGTTACATGATTGAATGATTATATTGTAAATTTAACCGTTATAAAGTCGTTCGCTTCGCTCGCAATTTATCACTCCAATTTCATCTATTAGGTAGGTATTATTCAGCAGTGACATATCCAGGGGAGTAGGGGGTTATAACCGACAGCCCAAACTATTAAATTTATTTTAGAATACAATTGTATATATTGTTAAATGTGCCACCTAAAACAGCACAAAATAATAATATAAATTATGATGGAGTAAAATGCCTCATATTTTATCATAAATAAATAATCATTCAGACTGAAAATGATAATTATAAATTAGGTATTAATTATTACCTATTTACCAGTCTTATTGCTTACCTACTTTATAGTGGTTTTAGAGAAAACACTTAATATCAATTTGAAGCGTATATAAATATAGGTTTAATTAATTAAATATTAAATACGTTATTAAAATTAAAGAAATGTAAAACAAAAAACAGTTTATTTTATTATTTAAACAACTAATTAAAAAAAAAGTTTCAAAAATGTTTCACTGGACTATTGGTAATCTAAGTAACTATCTTAAAATGTTTAAAAGATGTATTTGCATGCTGTATAATCACTTTTAAACACTGAAAACCGAGAGGCGTTTAGCTTCATCATGTGTGAGAAATAGATATAAATGTCAATGTACGTCTTTATACTTGATATAGTATAAAGACATGCATCGATAAGTGAATTGCTTTATCGCATCATAGTATTCTACCATCTACAAATCGACTGTCACCTAATTTATACATTCCTAAGATTTATTAACTAGAGTGTAATTTATCCATCCAACCCACCCCACACCCACCCAAACACTAGACACCCACCACCATAGTTAAATAAAGGGGCGAACTGTCCCATAAAAGTACGTGTTCGGCGATACTGGTAGTATCTAAATTTCTGTATTATTTTAAGCAATGTTGTAAATTGACACGACTGATCGAGCAGACTGCAGATAATTTCAACTATGTTATTATTCTATCGATTTTTCGATATTTATTTTTATTGTTTATAATTAGAGCAGAGGACTTGTAGCATTTGCATATTTTTTTTTGCAGTCACGAAAATAGCAGAGTGCGAAACAAATACGTTTCATGCTTCAATAAAGCTAATTTTAAAATTTTATTATGCATATAAATGCATATTTTGCGTTTTTCTAGTTTTAAGGGCATATTTATTCTATTTTATAGTTTTAGATGCATATTTTAAATAATTTATCATTTTATCAATATTTTTTCGTTGACGTTTTTAATTATTTTTATTTATACAACTAAAATAACGTTTAATTTAAAATTATTTTAAATTTTGATAGTTATATTAATACGGTTTTTGACTTTTCACAGATCCATCATGGTTTTCCTAAAAACACGTCTCGAGAGTTGTAGATTAGATTGATTGCCGGGTTATTGATTTTGTTTAAAGACAGATGAGATAATATTGTTCAATGCACAAAATATTGATACGAGAACGTCTGTCGCCAATATCGGACATATTCATAATTAATTTCAGTAATCACTGTGTTTCTCAACAGTTGACACTTGACCATACGTTCAATCACGTTCTATTAACTATTTATAATAAAAAATGCTTAAAGTTAGTATCCAGATAAGAAAACTCATAAAATAAACCCAATTAATTAATTGTAACTTGTAAGTTGTTAAATAAAGTTGTAAATAAAATGTATTCATTATAATAATTACCTACAGAAAAATTCTTATTTTTTGTTCAAAAAAATTAATTTTAAAATACATATTTTAAAAGCATATTTTGTATATTTAAGTGCATATTTGATGAACTTTTAGAGCTATAAGTCCTCTGCCCTACTTATAATAATTGATAATTGTGCATCGGACTTTGTACATCGTATAGTAACAGTCTGTAATAAAGACTGGTGTTTATACAGTATTTAATAAATATTTTTAAAAGTCGATTTAAACGAAATGCAATTAAATTTGACAACACAATGTTATTATTAATTGAAAAAAAAAACTTAATGACAGTAAGTTTTTTTTTTCATTTATAACGAATACTAGGAATGAATTGAAGAAATAAAGCAGTCCAAAATAACGCTACCGCGATCGACAAAATGAAGTCTACAAAAGATTATAGGAACTTATTATAGTAAGTATGATGTTATTGCTATCAATGGTAAAGATCGTCTTGTTAAAATTATCGCCATTGTTACGGAGAGTGTATGTTATTATGTGAAGAATGAAGAGCTTTGCGATATGTCACTAACATTTACAACAATCGGCCATGGAGGCTGCGACCGTTTTTAATGGTAGAACTTAAATTAAAATTTTCCAACATCGCATAGGAAACAATAATGGTTTACTCTATTTTGATAAATAATAAATAATTATTAATTTACTTAATATTTTAATATAATTGCAATATTTAGCAACATTGTCTTCTTTTTTAAGGAATTAACATCAATTACTAGTCAATTATGACAATTCCTTGCTAAATCAGGCATTTTCGTTGTTGAATAGTCATTGTCGACATTAATTATCATATTTTCTTGTAACGCATTTATTATTGATATGACACTATACAATTTAATGCTATTGTCGGTCGGTAGTGAATAATCATTTATTTTTAATACGTCACAAAAACGATATTATTTTTATAGCATTTTACTGTTTGTTTCAAAAAAAAAAAAATAAAAAAAATAATTGTATAATATTGTCTTACACATTTTAGTATTTGGAAAAATTAAGAAAATTAATTTTAATTTTGTTTGATTAAAAATTACTAACCTTAAAGTTATATTATTTAATAAAAATTTTATTTTATGTTCAAATATGTCAAAATGAGCGATCCGATTAATGTTTGGAGAAAATATTATTTTGGGAAAAATTAGAGTTTTGAACAGTTTGATATACACGGTGTATCAAAAGTCTTCATTCAATTTCAAAAATTTATAATTATATTAAAAATGAAGATATAAGGGTGAAATAAAGTAAAATATATTCTTAAAATAGTCAAGTTTTATTTACTTTGGTTACAAATGTTTAATATAACCTCCACCGGCCGCCCGATATACATCTATAGGGTAATCAAATTCTTCCTAAATGTTGCTGATAATTTCTAGTGTCGCGGCATTGACAGCATCTTTGATTCTGATTTTAAGCTCTTCCAAGTTTGTAGGTAATGGTGGTACATACACTTTATCTTTTATGTAGTCCCATAGAAAAAAATCACACTTTGTGAGGTCAAGGGAACGTGGTGGCCAGGGATGAACTTCGAACGAAAACGTCGAACATGCTTAATGTTTTCGTCAGAGGTACGAAATCGACCTGAGTGTTTCTGTGCACACAGACAACCACTTTCTTGGAACGTTTGGTGCCAACATCGAATGCTTTGTGCCGTAGGAGCTTCAGTTCCCTAAGTTCTTCGAAAATCATGTTGAACGGTTAATGCCGACTCGCACTTATTGAAACGTAAGACGCAAAACGCTTTTTGTTGCGGAGTCGTCATAACGAAACAAATTAACGGTTCCTAGTTCACTAACCATTGCAGTACTAAATTTATCAACTAGATAACTTAAAATAAACTTAGTTATCTAATCTTTCCATTAATACATCGGTCATTAACCTGTGATTAACCGTTGCCGAACTATATTAGTTCGTAATTGGATGAAGACTTTTGAAACACTGTGTATATTATAATATTAATTTGATTCATATGATTTATTACTAAATTTATTTTTGCATTTCGCACACAAAGTTTCATCAAGACTCTATAATTGGCGAACCTACCTTATATCTCTCCTAATATAATATCTTTCCTATAGCTTTAATATAGTTTACGTGAAACTAATAGAGTTATATTTTTCATTAGAAATAATAAGAACGCGATAAAAATGAAGTATACTCAAGGCCGGATTAAGGGGGGGGGGTCTAGCCGAGGCGGTAGCCCCGGGATCTTCTCGAGTACCCAAATGAAAGGGGCCCAAATAATTTTAAGCCGATACACATTTTTTATCATATTAAAATTAGTAGTTTTATAGACATATATTTTATATACCTATTAATTGTATAATTTTATAATGCAATTGACAATTTGTGAAATAGCTAAATAAATGTATTGTTCAGCGAGCGTAGCAAGTAGCTTTGTAAAGCATATTTTGTCAAAAGGGCTCATATAAAATTTCAGTCCCAGGGCCCAATAGGTGCTTAATCCGGTCTTGAGTATACTTTAGTATTTCGACTTGTGCAATGAACATTATTCATACTTTCATTAAAAGGTTAGGTTAGATTAGCAAATAACATGGCCGAACACTGGTCGAGGAAATCCGTCGCACTTCGAAAGCGAGTTTTCTCAATCCTCCAAAATGCCAAATATTTAGAACCAAATGACAATGCTACCAAATTACTAAGTACGCAGTTATCCATGACCGTTTTCCAACAATGTTTGCAACGCTTCATTTTCTACGTATTTTTTGTTATTTTTTTTTTTTTACAAATTGGTCCCATACGTCAACATCGCCTCTCACACACCGTTTATATACGTTCTGCTATTACATGAATACAAATTGCAATATTCAAAATGATCCTCAATACGAATTCTAGCACTATGAAGAAAATAGAACATTTTTCAAATATTAACATTTTAGCAAACATTTTTACCATGTATTATTTATTTTTATATTCCTACTTTCAAGTCAGTAGGATTACGAATCGTATAGATTATGCAGTTAAACTTCTAAACAACGAACTATTGCTGTAAGTGTTCTGATGAATTTTATTATATGTTAAACGGAAAATGTATCATATTAGTTATTTTAAAATATGAAATACTTAGTATAAAATCATTGTCCTAGAAATACGGTTAGCATAATATGTATTTGATTACTATTGTTTATATCGAAGTATAAAGATGGAATTATATTTATTAATATACTCGTAGTTTGTAAGCATAACACATATTTCGTTAGATATATCTTTGTTATATAATTGTGAATTTATTTTATATTCTCAACGAAAACAAAAAAAATATTTTTTATGGATTTTTCTTTCACTGGAAAGTACTTTTTGAATTAACGAATCGTTACAACAATAATAATAATAATAATAATAATACCACCACAAAAGTTTTCTATGCATTTTTGATTGAAAATTACTTTCATTGATTGATAAATACTAATTTCTTTTATTTCTACAGAGGATGAATGATAAATAGTACTAATTAACACGTCTGGTCATTGTTTTATTGTTACGTGTTGCTTATAAGTTATAACCGATCAGCGGAGCGTAGTGGTGTAAAAAGTTGATAGGGTGGCCGTGCAAATCTGATGAGCTACGTGATGGATGCTATGAATTTCTTGTGAGTATGTAGTACATTCTATGTACAATGTGTATATTTATTAGTGAGTATATGTGCTTAAAACTATATATAAGAAAAGGTAACTAAAAATGGTAAGCTTATATAAATTATTAACTAAATATTGCTGGAACAAAAATTAATTAATTAATGAACCATGGAATATAAATAACTCGCAGTAATACAACAATAAATATTTTGTGAGTATAGTAAATTATCGATTTTGATTCAACGATATAAATAAATAAATAAACTAATCTTAATCGACTAATATAAAAATTAACAAAACAACCAGCCAGCAAAAATAGAAATGTTAAATGTGATATGTGTGTTTGCTGATTGATCGTTAATCGTGAATTTGTGTAATTAAGTTATACTTATATTATGTACAATGGATAAAATGAACAATATGTCCGTAACCACAACGCGAACTTTATGAATAATACATTATGAATAAATGCAAAATTTTTAAAAGTTTTTAAACTATGGGTTTAATTTCTAAACACGTGTTAAAAGTGTTCGGAATTTTATATGAAACTATCATAAATGTACAACCAAGGACACGGTTTTATTTGTTTATAGTAGCCAACCCGTATTCTATTCTATGCTCTGAATACTGATATATACTGAATAAGTGCACCGAATCAATGTTGTATAAAAAAAACTAAGAAATTGTTTTTCTTTTTGCTTTTTCAATTTTTTTATTTAACTAACATTTTTCGGATTTTCTAAACTTTTATCTTTTTAGTAATATTTCTATTAATTTCAAAATGAATATAAATAAAACTTTTATAATTGATTCAAATTTATTTTAGATTTTACGTAGGTGTACCTTATGGTTTTAAGTATGTTTAAATTCATTATTGTGGAAGTGGTGGATAAATTGACATTTATGACATATTATGTTTTCGAAATAAGTTATAAATTACTCGAGTGTCTAAATAGTTATGAATTTACATGATAAACTCATATTTTGGTTTTATAATATTTCAGCTTGACAACTGAAAGCACTATAGGATGGCCGACTTATAAAAGACTGGGATAAAGACCAAAAAAAGAAGAAAGCTTGTTGAGTATATAAGAAAAAGTCACTAAGTCTTAATAAACTTGAATTTCAATGGTTTTATAAAAAAAATATCGGTGATTTTAGTTTCGAATGTGATGTATATTTTTATAAACATTTGCTTGTCGAAATTCGTTATGAAAATTCATCGAGAACTCGAAGTGGTTGCCATGGTTGTGAAAATTACGGCGTCGTTAGAGAGTTAAATATTTCATGAATATTATTGAAAACTCGACAAAGGTATGTTACGTATAAACATAATGTACATAAACATAAACAGCTAAATCAAATTTACCGAAAATAGTAATACTATATAGAATTTAGTAAATTTAATTTTTTTAATTTTTTTTCCTTTCTTATTTTTAAAAGTAATGGTGCGTAAATAATGCCATGGATTTTAATTTCATCAAAACATCAAAATATGTCTGTTTTTTCTTCTTCATAATTTAATTAAAATAAATTATATCAATAGTTTAATAAACCACATTTACTGGAATTAAGCATTAAGTACACTGTATTAATGAATATTCAAAAATTATTAAAGACCTTTAGAACGATTTTGGATTATTTTAATTGTATTATGACTCTTTAAAACTATAAAATTTGAATTTATATTTTAAAATTAAAAAATATTTACTTTTATATTTATAGTTTTGATAATTAACCTAATATAATTTTAAACTTGACTAAAGTAAAATATAATTTTTAGGTAGTAACGGATTAAAAATGTACATAATTATACACATCCCTTAGGATATATATAAATGAACTTTTATAAATTTATGCCTCTGTAATAGAGTTTTGTTCATTTTTGTAAAAATATGAGAATAGCCGCCGAGTAAAATTTTGGAAAGATGATATGAAAAATGTTTCGAATAAACTAGTTTTAGTTTTACGCTATAAATCACAGGTTAGTATAAGATGTCACCAAATAAATTCCGAGCTTTCTATTTGAGAGTGAACATTTATATATTTCTATAAAAAAAAAAAAAAATAAAACAAAATACTCGAATAAAAGTCGTTTAAGTGTCGGTAATAGTTTTACAGTATTAAATGATTTTTTTTCGGAAATGATATAATGTTATTACAAAAATTTCTATAATATTATTTTGCTCTACTCATCAAAAAAGTTTATATTTATTAAAGAAAAATTGTTAGTAACAAAAATATATTTATATATATGCATTTAATAAAACATTTGGCTAATTTTATTCATAAGTTAGGGAAGTCATTAAATCAATTTATTGAAACAAATTATTTATCGATCGTGTAACTGAAGTAGGTATTATTATTTTTTAGTATTTTTATAACTTGTACGAATTTACAAACAATTTATGGCTATTATTAATGATTATTCGAACCACTCTTTATCCTAAAATTATTAAACAGTTTTAATAATTATTTTACAATACGAAATACAGATCAAGATTTAGGAATTAAAATTAATTTTTTGGACGTATATTATTATACACGAATCAATTATAAACATATTGCATTTATATTGTACATATATAATATATTTTGATCGGAAAACAATGGTTTAAACAAGAAAAACTTACTAAGTATAATAATAATTTTAAAACAAAAAATAGTCGGCTTATTGGATTAGTTTTGAAAAACAATCAACATTGAAAACTTAATACGGGTATCTTTATCAGATTAACATAAATGTTCAACATTCTAAAACATTTTGGCCATGTATTCGTATAGTGGTGTAGTGATAAAATTTTAGAAAGATGAGAAAGGAAATAGGATTTATTTTTTGGTCCGGCAATTCTGCTCTTCGTTTTGTTTTACGTATAGAATTTCAATAAAATAAACCCACTCGGAAAGCATTTTTTTACTTAAGGTCTAGTATGTGAAGATAGAGTGGTAATCAACATCGATCGGAAAAATGATTCCAGTATAATGTACCGTTGGGAACGCAAGCTAGAAACATAGGTTTTTCGATACTATATAGTATATTCCCTGTCCGCTGAAAATTCTACTCTTTATTTTAAGACTATTGTTAATCAGTAGAACACCAGTAATTACTTAATGTCAATCCGTTTGCAACATTGGAATAATGTCGTTGTTCATCGGATTAAAATAGATTAATTTTAAATACATCGAACATTAAATCAATTAATACCGTATTAATGAGTACTAAATTATTATGCTGAATTCGTAGAAACAAATTGATTCATTGATGATGTATAATTATAAAATTTTCTCCGGCTATTCATACGATAGTAGGAAAAATATAAAGAATTAATGTGTTATCATAACCTAAATATTATAAAATCGATACTTGCACAAATTCGACAAATAGTTTAAATAATGTGGATGAAAATCCGTAAAGAGTGAAATTTTTTGTTTGGAGATTATAATATTATAGATACAAAAACTCAGTCATGTAGAATATGTTAAACTCGTATAATCGGATTTTTGTTGGGTTCTAAAAATGTGATTAATATTAGTTGATAAATTTACAGAAACATTTATTTTGATAGCTGATATAATTTAATATATGAGTACACATACACGAACATAGCATACATGTATGCTGTCCACTCTAACCAAATATACATAAACATTGATGGAAGGAATTTTTTTTAATGTTATATGATTATTATTGTTTTTATAATCATAAATTATCGTCAAATTATTATTATTATATATATTGTACATTAATTTTATTAACATGAAACTAATAAACTACTTGTGGTTATTAAGATTCTTATATAGTTATATATATATTAGGGTGGTCCTTAGTTATAGAGGTTAAAAAAAAAATTGAAAAATTTATACTCGTGGGCTCGAAATTTTGTTTGGTATATTGACAAGATAATTTTGGTAAAATTTGAATTTGATAAGTCAACCCCTTCACGTGCCTCAAAGGGGTTAAAGTTGTATGCTAAGGGGGGTGAATTATACATTTTCACCTGTAATGTCTTAAATTCTAAATTTAGACCATATATGTATAGGACTATTTTTATAGTAATGAATATTTACTACAAAAAA